CAATTATCCGGGTCCACCACACACATTGCATTCGTCTTTACCACCCATCTTGCACCTGATGATAATAGACAATAAACCATTGTACATGAGTACTATATAATACTCCCTCCGTCTCAAAAAGAATGTGACGGTTTGACTTTTTGGGTAATTAAAAGAGAGATATTTTGGTATTGAATGAGTAAAAGTAGGATCTGATGGGTAGATTATAAAAAAAAGGTATGATGTGATAGGTAGGGTATGAAAAAGTAAGGGGTAAAAGTAGTAGAAATGTAACGGACTTTACGGGACGCAGTTTTTTCTAAACGTAACAAACTTTTTGGGACGGAGGGAGTATCATTTTTATTTAATTGAATGAAATAAATTTTACATTTTATATTAATAAAATAAAATTGTTCTCTGAAAGTATTTTACAAGATAAATTTAATTGAATCATTTTTGTACTACAGTACTATATAATACTCCCTCCGTCCCAAAAAGTTCAACATGTTTCAAAAAAACTGCGTCCCGTAAAGTCCGTTACATTTCCATTAAAAACTACTTTTACCCCTTACTTTTTCATACCTTACCTATCACATCATACCTTTTTTCTAATAATCTATCCATCACATCCTACTTTTACACATCACATCAAGGGTATTTTTGGAAAGTCAACACCAAAATATCCCTCCCTTAATTTCCCAAAAAGTCAATATGTACCAATCTTTTTGGGACGGAGGGAGTATCATTTTTATTTAATTGATAAACATCTGACTGAATAAAAGGACATTGAGACGAAGGCAGTATAAATTACCTGTAAGAGTAATAATAATGAAGATCACGAACATGAAACTATTGTTTGAAAACTTTGCCATTATATATACTGGTTTGATGATAATTAGTAGACTCAAACTATTTGCAAATGAGACGAGAGCTTAATCCTTGATATTTATATTGACCTACCATTAACAAATTTAGTAAATTGGTGGGTGAAAATTTAATTTACACTTAATTATTAAAATAATTTTTTTACCTATTTAAATCCTATTGCTACCATACAACGTCACCGAGATGGCTAAGGTACAATGGTAAAGAACTCACTAAAATAAAAGTTTAAATTGTCGATATGTGACATGCATTGCATATACAGAGTATATTGCCATTACACATTATTTTTTGGTATTATATGCTAACATTATTGACATTGTAATTTGTGGTTTGGAGCAAAAACATTTTATTTTAATATTATCGCTATGTTTTACTCTCACTTTAGTCTTTCTCCACAATGGTACATATTACCTCCGTCCCTGAGTATTTATCCAGTTTTGAATTTTTTTCAGTCAAACGTTGACTTATAAATAAATGAAATATATATTGTATTTTAATTAGATAAAATAATATTTTGAAAACATTTCATATAACAAATCAAATAAAATTAATTTGTATCAATATCTAATATCATTTTTATTTAATTTGATATCAAAATTTATCAATTTTGACCAAAAAATTAAAAGTGAACAAATACTCAGGGACGAAGAGAGTATAATACTCCGTATAATATCCGTTCCAAAAACTTAGACGATATAACTTCATTGAATGTAAGATAGTTATTGAAAAGTAAAAAAATGTGTATTTAAAATTTTTATAGGGACGAGAGAATAGTTGGTAGCCACATATTCATTATCAAAATATGGAAAAAAAACTAATGCTCCTTTTGGTACACGAATTCAAACTATGAAATTGGAATTGAGGACAACAATTCTAATTCTATTATTTGGTATCATAAAAATATGTGGATTTGAAATTAGTAGTGTCAAAAACGAATTGGAATCGGAGAACTCAATTTCATCCAAATAATTCCACAGGATTTCAACTACAATTCAACTCCAATTCCGTGCGTATTCATTACTCAAATTTCGGTCTCCTTTATCGATTGAGGAGCGAGGCTCTATTTACATGCATGGAGGGTATAGCCATAATTAAATTTTAAACTTCAAATTTCAAATTTAAATTTTATATTTTAAGTTTTTTATTTTATTTTTAAAATTTTGCTTTTTAAGTTTTAAATTTTTAAATTTTAAATTTTAAATTTTAAATTTTAAATTTTAAATTTTAAATTTTAAACTTTAAATTTTAAAATCTAAATTTTAAATTTTAAAATTTTAAATTATAAATTTATATTTTGTATTTTATATTTTAGATTTTGTACTTTTAATTTATATTTTATATTTTATATTTTATATTTTATATTTTATATCTTATATTTTATATCTCATATTGTATATGTTATATTTTATATTTTCAATTTACATTTTATATTTTAATTTTTATATTTTAAATTTTATATTTTAAATTTTATATTTATAATTTTATGTTTTATATTTTATACTTTAAATTTTAAATTTTAAATTTTATAGATGATAATATTTGTTTAGATATAAATTATTCATTATTATTTAATACAAAAAATAATATTTATTTTTTACTTTGAAATATTTTAAAAGATTATAAAATAATCACACAACACAAACATGATCTTTCTTACAAATAATTAGAAGTTTTTTTAATTCACTCAACACAAATAAAAAACGCTATATGTACTATTCTGCTTGACTTTGTTAACAAGTATTGAGTAGCTTAAGTGGTTATAGTCTTAGAGAGTTCTATGGTGAGGTCCTAGAGGTGTAAAGGGATATTAATCGGATCGGATGTGCATTTACCAAATCCGTATCCATTTAATTTTGTCGGATATTGAATTCGGATACGGATCTTGACAGATACTGAAAATCAAAACTGTATCCGCATCCGTCGGATATCGGATATATCCGTATCCGTTTCCAATTTTTTAAACCAAATCAAACAATACTTTAATTTTAAATTAAACTAAATCAAAACATTATAAAATCAACTATAATTTTTCTATGGGATAATTATATACTTATTTTTTTATACTTTATGATATTCTACGATAATTTCATATCATAAAAAAATTAATGCTACTTTTGGTACACGAATTCAAACTATGAAATTGGAATTGAGGACAACAATTCCAATTCTATTATTTGGTATCATAAAAATATGTGGATTTGAAATTAGTAGTGTCAAAAATGAACTGGAATCGGAGAACTCAATACCATCCAAATAATTCCACAGAATTTCAACTACAATTTAACTCCAATTCCGTCAATTCCGTGTGTATTCATTACTCAAATTTTGGTCTCCTTTATCGATTGAGGAGCGAGGCTCTATTTACATGCATGGAGGGTATAGCCATAATTTTAAATTTTAAACTTCAAATTTCAAATTTAAATTTTATATTTTAAGTTTTTTATTTTATTTTTAAAATTTTTCTTTTTAAGTTTTAAATTTTTAATTTTTAATTTTTAATTTTTAAATTTTAAACTCTAAATTTTAAATTTTAAATTTTAAATTTTAAATTTATATTTTATATTTTATATTTTATATTTATATTTTATATTTATATTTTATATTTTATATTTTATATTTATATTTTATAATTTATATTTTATATTGTATATCTTACGCCCTCCGTCCTATAATGATCTTCCCGGTTCGCAAAACGAAGAAAAATTCCAAGTTTTTTCAATCTATTTTATTTAAATATTGGTATAGAAATAAAAAATAAAACATACATATTTAAAAACTACACCAAAAGTTTAACAAAACAAGTGGTGACAAGAATATTTATTTTATCATATAGGCCATGAAAAAACACAAATAAATATAAATTCCCGTGAAGTTGGAATAGTGCTCTGGGAAGATCATTACAGGACGGAGGGAGTATATTTTATATCTCATATTTTATATGTTATATTTTATATTTTCAATTTACATTTTATATTTTAATTTTTATATTTTATATTTATAATTTTATGTTTTATATTTTATACTTTATATTTTAAAGTTTAAAGTTTAAATTTTATATTATACTATATTTTAAATTTTAAATTTTATGATTTATGTTTTAAACATTAAATATTAAATTTTATGTTGGGATTTTAAGCGCGTAAGATACCAAAAATATTGAGAACACTAGAAAAAGAGAGAACAAACAGAAGAAGAATATATGAGAGAAAAAAATTATATTTTCACTTTTTCAGGACAATATACAAAAAACTCTCTCCCTGTTTACAAAGCTAAATTCCAGACACTCATAAACAGATATTTCCAAATCCTATCCCCGAATGTATTTTTCCGAGTAACTAAAACCAATTACGTCCTACACTCATCCACACTCATCAAGACCCCTTGGATTTTCCCGGTGGTATGCTTGTGTAGAATTCCTCCCATGCTTCTCTCTCTATATTGGTGGTGTGTAAAACCCACACACACACACATACCACTCACTCTTCATGGCTTTATAATACCCAAATGATTCATGCCAACACTAAGAGCCAAAAAAGGATGACACATCCTTTGATTTCAACCAAAAGCAAAGAAGGTCACGCACATGCATCCATTTCCTCCACCTTTTTCCTTTCCTCTTACTTTATTTTTTCTTTTTCTTATTTTTCTTTCTTTTCTTTTAATTATTAATCAATTTCCCAACATTTTAAACATCCCGCTAACGTAGCTAGTGATGGGTAATAACCCAAGGATACCACCCGGTTGGTTCACCGAACAGCACGCGTCTTTTCAGCCCGGGTTATTTGACCGGTTGGCTGGGGAGACCAGACGCCAATACCCGAAGATCTGCTTTCAAAGTGCACCTGGTGGGTCGGTAAGCCGACTGACCGGTTGGATAATCAGGGACGTGCTTGACGTGCTTAAGATTATTATAAATACCCCTAAAAGCCTCATTTGTGAGGCATGTTTTAATTAACCTGTATGGCTTGTATTTGTAATTACTCCTATTATCATTAATAACAAATCGGGTACAGGTGTTTCCATCTACAACCCTTCCGATTACTCACACTTAGTATTTGCGTGGTAATTTACACCATCAAAATGGCGCCACCCGTGGGACCTATTACAAAAAAGTCATGGCCAGGAAACCGTGATCTCACAAATTTCTACTCCCGCTGAGAACGTCACTTCATTCCCGGGAGGAAGTTCCCAACCGTCAAGCCAGGTTCCTACCCCCATCATCACCATTCCACCACCTATCCCATTCACTTCCCCCGTGAACCCTGTTCCCGTTTTTCCTTCAAATTTCCCCGGACCCCTTGATCCAATGTACATCCAGGCTCTTCAGAATTTTGGACATTTCATGTCCATGTTCCAGCAACCGGGAGGGTTTTCACCTTTCAATCCAGGATTGTATCCACAATCCTCGCCTCAAACTAACGTCATTCGCCCGATCGTTCCGACAAACCTGATCGGGGAGATGGATAAAGCAGGTCCATCCCGGTCTAGAAGGAGCCGGTCCCGTAGGTCACAAACAAAGGTGACCTCGGACGGGGATGTGCGTTCAGTGCACTGCAAAGACGAGGATTGGGACGTCCCCCAGGCGCTCAAAAAGTTGAAGGGAAAGGCAGTTCAGCCAGAAGGATCTAGGAGGTCGGCCTTTCAGAGACTTGGCCATGATGGCCGAAATCAGAACCGGTCAGCAAAAGAGCGGCTTGGGGTAGAAACCATCCCAGCTAGTGCCTTTAATCGTGCAGGGAGAGGAGCCGGACGACCTGGTCAGACCAGGCGAACGGAACCACCCCCACGCGATGAGCCCCAGCACAGCCGGGCGCCGCGAGAGGAAGAAGCCGAAAGCCACCCCAGGCACACGACCCGTTCTCATGTTGAACAACCTCGGGATTGTGTGGGCCGGGTCGAGGCACGTCTGGAGAAACTACAATGCTGGGTAGACCGAGAAGAAAAGAAGAAGATTCTGCTGAACGAATCTCCGTTCACAGACCGGGTTCATGAAACCCCATTTCTAAAGAAGGCGAAACTTGAAGTCCCGAAGTTCACCGGGAAGGAGGACCCGGAAATTCACGTCAAAACCCGCCATCAAAGTGGGCGGATGACGGGTCTTTCCGGGGATGAGAAATGTTTGCTTTTCTTTCAGACCCTCCGCGGCCGCGCCGCCGAGTGGTTTCATAACTTACCGGCCGGTGAAATCGATTCTTTCGATGAACTGGCTGAGGTGTTTCAAGAAAAGTTCAAAGAAAACTGTACCAAGAGGAAAAAGTTTACCTACTTGAGTACAGCCGGGCAGCGAGAGCACAAGGATCTGACGAAATTCCTCACCCGGTGGAAGGATGAGGTTGACAAGGTGGAGGAGATGGACGACAAGACATCAATGTCCCTCCTTGTATCCGGGCTGCGGTCCGGAGAACTATACAAAGAATTCTGCAGGAGGCCTCCCCAGTCCTATCAGGAGGCCTATAACACGGCCTGGGATTATGCTGATGCTGAAGCCCAGGTGTCATCCAAGAGGGAGGCCGAGCAGGGCCACTCAAAGGGAAAAATTTCCTTGAAAAAGGAAATTACATTTCCCGGTAAGATAAAAGCAGAAGTCATGGAGGTAAAGCCAGTCAAAACAGAGAAGAAACCGACCGGCGAGAAACAATGGACGGAGAAGTATTGCTCCTTTCACAAAACTGATTCCCATAACACTGCAGAGTGTAACAGTGTGAAGGGAGTAATAAAGCAGATGATTGAGGCCGGTGAGATTGATCCTGAATATCTGGCCCAGGCTAAGCAAAAGAAGAACCAATGGGTCAGACCAGAAGGACAACCGGCCGAGCAGAATAAAAAGAAGAAAACAGCCGGTAAAGAGCATTTACAGGTCATCTACGGTGGACCGGAAGGGGGAGATTCTGCTTCCCAAAGGAAGAAGTGGGGGCAAGAACTCTACGTAGGGACGGTAGCCCTCAATCCCCGGTCAAAACAAGCAAGACGGGAACCGATCACTTTTACTGACCGGGACCTCCCCGCCACCGGAGAAGATCACAATGACCCCCTGGTGATAACTATGGACATGGGTGGAGTTGATGTCTCCCGGGTACTTGTTGACACGGGCAGCAGTGTTAACATTTTGTACCTGGATGCATTTGAGAAGCTCAAGTTGTGTCGAACACGGCTTGAGCCCTTAAAGACTCCCCTGTCTGGATTTACCGGGGACTCGGTCGAAGCTGAGGGGTCGATCCTTTTAACTTGTGAGCTGGGCACGGGCGAGCAGGTCGTCCAGAAGCAAATGAGGTTTGTAGTTGTGAACATCAAATGTGTTCACAATGCTATTTTGGGCCGACCTGGGATAAACAAGGTCCGTGGGGTCATCTCCATGGCCCATCTCTGTATGAAGTTCTATACCCCGGGCGGTATAGGACAAGTCAGAGGAGATCAAAAGAAGGCCCGACATTGCTATCTGGAGGCAGTAAAGAAAATGACAAAGGCCTTTGAGAGGGTCACTCTGGTCTCTCAGGAGGAAGACCGGTCAAAATTAGAACCAGGCGATGAAACCGAGCAGATTGTTCTCCGGGAAGCCTTCTCAGAAAGAATGGTACGGATCAGAAGAGATCTGCCCGGAGGACTTCGAGATGAAATCATCTCAGTTCTTCGGGAATATGCAGATATTTTCGCTTGGAGTGTGGCGGACATGCCGGGCATTGACCATTCTGTCATATGCCATCGTTTGGCTGTGATGGAAGGGAGCCGGCCTGTGAAACAAAAGAAGAGGCACTTGGCGAACGTCCGTAGGGACTTTTTGAAGAAAGAAGTCAGGGACTTGTTGGCGGTCGGGCACATACGGGAAGTACAATACCCGGCCTAGTTGGCTAACGTCGTCTTGGCCCCAAAAGGCGACACCTGGCGCATGTGCGTGGATTACACGGATCTGAACAAGGCATGCCCCATGGATTCATACCCGATGCCCAGTCCCGATCAGATGGTCGATGAGACGGCCGGGTGTGAGTTGCTGAGCTTCATGGATGCCTTCAAAGGCTATCATCAGATCTTCATGGCAGAGGAAGACGAGGAGAAGACTTCTTTCTTAACACCAGAAGGCACCTATTGTTACCGGGTGATGGCCTTTGGGCTAAAAAACTCGGGCGCCACTTACCAGAGGATGGTGAATCGGCTTTTTAAGCCACTCCTCGGTAAATTCATGGAGGCCTATGTGGATGACATGCTGATCAAGAGCCCGGGTGCGGAGAACCATCCGGCCGACATGAGGCTTTGCTTCGAGATTATGGCACAATACAACTTGCGTCTCAACCCCAAGAAGTGCGTCTTCGCTGTAAAGACCGGTAAGTTTCTGGGGTTCATGGTGACCAAGCGTGGTATTGAGCCAAACCCGGAGAAGATCAAGGCCATAACTGAAATGAGGTCGCCCAGTTCGCTGAAGGACGTACAACGACTTACCGGGCGGCTAGCAGCCTTGGGCCGTTTTCTCTCCCGGTCTGCTGAAAGGGCTCTGCCTTTCTTCAAGGTGTTAAAGAAGGCCAACACATTCGAGTGGGACCGGGAGTGTGAGGAAGCTTTCCAGCAGCTGAAGGAGTACTTAGTCTCTGATATTGTTTTGTCAAAACCCAAACCGGGTGAGACTTTGTATTTGTATCTAGGCATTTCCCAAAACGTTGTAAGCTCTGTTTTGATAAGAAATGAAGACGGCCAGAGGCCTATTTACTATGTGAGCAAAGCATTAAATGGGGCTGAAATCCGGTACACTGCCATTGAGAAAACGGCATACGCGCTTTTCATCACGGCCAAAAATTTGACCGCATACTTCCAAGCTCACACCGTGGAAGTACTGACCGATTAGCCACGTGGACCGGTCCTTCGAAATTCGACCTCCTCGGGAAGGTTGATCAAGTGGGCGATGATGCTCACTCAGTTCAAAATAGAATATAAACCAAGGACTGCAATTAAGGGTCAAGCTTTGGCAGACTTCCTCGTTGAACTGACTGGTCTAGAGCCCGAAGCCGGACCTTCCCATATGGTCGAACCGTGGTGGGATATGGCCGTTGATGGAGCCTCTAGACCGAAGGGATGCGGGGCCGGCGTAGTCTTCACTACCCCGGAAGGATTCAAGATCTACCATGCCTTGATCTTCAACTTCAAGCTCACCAACAATGAGGCGGAGTATGAGGCGTTGGCCGGTGGCCTCAGATTAGCCCGGACACTCGGAATAAAAAGGATGAAGATCCGTTCCGACTTGAGTCTAAAGGGTTGGACATGTCAATGGTGAGAAGGAAGTAAAAGAGGATCGGCTGGCCCGGTATAGTGATCTGGTCCGAGCGCTTCTAAGGGAATTAGAAGAGTTTCGTCTGACTAGGATACCCCGGTCGGAAAACGCTGATGCAGATATGCTTTCAAAATTGACACAAGCTTGCCCAGAGCATGTGTCGAAGTTGGCGAAAATTGAGATCCTGGACGTGCCGAGTACAGACCGGTTTGAAGTCACGGCCATCCAACCGGCCAAGACTTCAGCGACCGTGATAATCGGAGCAGATGATGACTGGAGATATGAACTCATGGAGTATCTGGAGACCGGTCAGAAGCCAGATGACGAGGAACGAGCCAGGAAAGTGGTCCTACGGGCTCCACGTTTCCAGGTAATCGATGGTCATCTATACAAACGTGCCATTGGCAGACCACTCTTGCGTTGCTTAACCAACCCGGAGGCTGAATGGGTAATAGCTGAGGTGCACGAGGGAGTGTGTGCAGCCCATCAAATGTCCCGCATTTTGGCTCAAAGGATAATCCTACTAGGCTACTACTGGCCGACCATTGTTGGGGATTTTGAAAGGTATGTCCAGAAATGTAGAATGTGCCAGGTTTCTTACAAACATCCCGGCAGACCGGCCACTTATTACCAACCTACCTCTAATGTCATACCGTTTGCCCGATGGGGGATTGACATTATTGGAGCCTTCCCGGTTGCCCAAGGCGGAAAGAAATTCGTGATGGTAGCTATTGATTACTTCACTAAATGGATCGAGGCTGAGGCAATGGCCACCATAACCGTGCGGCAGTGTGAGAAATTTGTTTGGAAGAACATTATCACCCGGTTTGGTGCCCCACGAATTATTGTTACCGACAACGGTCCACAGTTTCGCAGCCCCCGGTTCACTGCGTACCTTGCTAGCTTCGGGGTCAAACACAACAAGGTCTCGGTAGCATATCCACAAGGAAATGGCCAAGTCGAAAATGCTAACCGGGCAATTGTGGACGGCCTAAAAAAGAGACTGGGTGAGGAAGGACACAAGTGGTTAGAAGCCTTGCCTCACACAGTCTGGGCGCACAGGGTGACTTCGAGAAGAGCAACTGGAGAGACTCCTTTCATGCTAACTTACGGATGCGAAACCCGGTTACCAGTAGAGGCAGAAATTCCAACGTTTAGAGAAACCGTCTATCAGCCCGGTCTGAATGAGATCGACCATCTGGCTGAGCTGAATCTGGTGGAAGAACGAAGGACCATAGCAGCTGTCAAGATGGCCGGTTATCAGCAGTCAGTAAAGCGGTATCATGACAACCGGGTAGGACCGCGATACTTCCAGGTGCATGATGAAGTCTTGCGCAGGAGGGATGCTAGTAAGCCTAATGAGAGGGGCAAGTTGGTGCGAAATTGGGAAGGACCCTATCGCATAAAGGCGATCATCCGGCTGGGCACTTACCAACTGGAGACTATGGAAGGTGGCCGGGTTGACCGACATTGGAACTCTCATCACTTGCGTAAATTTTATAGATAAAGTGTAACGGGTTCCCGGCCATTAATAAAAGTTCGTTCTTTTCAGAAAGATTGTTCTCATATATTAACCGGTAATTCGTCGCGTACCAATCTACCCGGTTAGATGTCCAATCGAATTGGACATCTCAAAAAAAAAAGAAACCGGACTGACCGATTTAACACCTCATCCGTACTGACACGGGAGTTAAAAACGATTTGGCTTTACTAGTGGGAGAGCATCCCGACCAGTTAAGCCAGACGTTTTGAAGAAAAACTCAAGGTTTGCCTATCCACACGGGGCGTTAAGCCATTGTGGAAATAGGTCAGCCTTAAAGTCTTCCCGGCTGACTATCCAGTCTTTCGAAAAGACTTGGGTAAAATTGTATTCTAAGCCGGGTAAATACAGCCAGGCTGTTATTTATTAATCTAAACGGTTAAAGAATTCAAGATGAAGAGAAATGACGAGATAAAAAAAGCACTCAGCACATAACATAAAGCATATTTTCATTAATATTTCAATGTCTTACAAAAGTGCCCGGAGGCAGACCATTACATCATTAAAAAAAGAAGAAAATCAGATGAGGAAGGAAGGCCGGACGGATCAGATGCCCGGGAAGGGAGGTTCAGGCGCCTCGCTGTGCAGCTCGGGAAGAGAAAGAGCCTTCGGCTGAAAACCTTGGATCCTCTGCTGAAGGATGCCGTAGAGGGCCTTCCGCTCCGAGTACTGGCCGCTTTCAAAGCCGTACGTTCCGATTTCGTCGACGATCCCGGCCGAGACCTCGTACTTGTACAAGCCTTGGAAGAAGCGGATGGCAGTCTCCCAGTCAGGCAACGCCTTAGCAGCGAACTCCTCAGGCGCTTGAGTAGCCCATGCAGCAGCAAGGGCGGCACGCACCGACTGCTCTTTCTGCAGCTCATCTCCCAGCCGAGCGATTTCCTCGGCTGACCGGGCATTTTTGGCCTCTAGCTGATTGATCTTGGCCTGGGCCTGCTCATCGGCCTCTTTCGCAGCCTTGAGGAGACCGTCGTGCTTGGCATAGAGCTGGCGGTAAACCGCACAGTGCTCTGTCCATTTGGCCTCTATCTTCTCTGCCTTGGCCCGGGCAGCCTGGCCTTCCTTCCAGCATGCCGGGCGAAGTACTCCTCCCCGATCCGGCCGACCTGCTTTAAAGACATCGAAAATTTCTCAGAAAAGTATAAAAACGGTAAGTAGGCGGTAGGAGAGGAAAAGGGGTTACCTCATTCAGATCAGCACGGAACGCTCGGAAGAGCTCCTCGTTTGACCTGGACATCAAAGCCAGAGAACGAGGCACTATTGGCCCCTTGCCCGCGTCGGAGGACTGGGCCCCCTGATGGGAAGGCTGGTTGACTTCCTCAATCTTCCGCTTCTTCCGTTGAAGGGACTCCCCAGAAGTCTCCTCCTTGGCTTCCCCTTCCTCATTGGGCCGGTCTCCCACCCCCGCCTGGGACGTATGTCCAGTCTCACCCATCAGATTGTCAAACTCGAAGGTGTCTACGTTGAAGTAGATCTCCCCCGAGTGAATCGGCTGGCTGGTCCCTTGGTGAGACTGGGCCGGCTGCTCATCAAGCAAGAGTGGCTGGCTGGATGGAGGAGTGAGTGGCTGAGCGGAGGAGGGCTCCTCAAAAAAGGAACCGGTTAGAAGAATGCAGTTGAGAACAAATTAATTCAAATAAAAAATGAGAAGGGCGGTTGATTGACCTTTCTCCTTCTTCTTCTTCGCCGGGCGTGAAGGACCGGCATTGGTAGTGGCCGGGGCTTTGGATCCCCTCGCCTGACGGATGGGGATGGCTTCGGGGATCACCCCGGGCAGAACAATCTCCGGTTCGGGGTCGGTCTCCCGGCCGGGGTAGACGCTCCACTTCCCAACGTGGTACAGACCGCGGGTGGAGGCATCCCCGGCCCGGAGAGTGGCTTCCCAAGCAACCAGGTCATCGGCCTCCGCTGGTTTGACCTGGCGCTTCATTCTTTTCCCCCAGACGTTTTGGGCAAAAGGAAAGGCACCCGGGGGGAATTTGACACAGACATATTTGTCCTTCCACTTCTTGTTAGAGGGTGGAAGGCCACAAAGGAATGCCCGGCCTTGGTGGGAAGACACCACCACGAATCCAAGGGTTTCCTTGGACCCGGGCCGAACATCGAACATATAATCAAAGAGGCGAAGAGAAAGAGGAATACGAAGAAACCGGCAGACATTGATGAAGCTGCCTAACAAACGGTGACCATTAGGGGCCAGCTGCCCAGGCATGATCCCGTAGGTCTCAAGGAAAAGGACTTTGAATGGGTGAATAGAGAACTCACCCAAGTCCTTGATCGAATGGTAATGGATCCCAATCGACGTGCCGGCGTGGAGAGGTATAATGCTCTTCCACGTTGCCCAGTAGGTCAATTGATACCCATCGGGCATCAGATTACGCAGTTCGTGGACTTGGGGTTTCTGCATGTACGACGGTTGCTCTTGGAGCAACCGGTCATCTAGCTGAATGAAGCCCTCGTCCCCGGACTGGGCAATCGAGACCACTTGCGCCGCGGAAGAAGAGGGAGCGCAAGTGGAAGCATGACCCGACTTCTTCTGTGGAGAAGTAGCCGGGTGCTCAGGGTCAGAGGATGAAGAAGAAGAGGAGGAACCAAAGGTGGGAGACCGACCGCCAGAACCATAAGAATGAACAGGAGGTTCTGGCTATCCTCACGGTCTGACATGACTCAGAGAAGGAATGAAAGAAACTTACTTGTAGACGATTAGAAGACTCGGAGGACTCGGAAATAGTAGAAGCAGCCGGGCAGTTTTTTGAATTGAAGATTTGCAAGTGAGGAAATTCCAAGGAGAACGACGCTTTATATAGGAGAGATTCCGCCCAGACGGGCGAATGAAGAAATGAAACGTGGCGGCTGAAATGATTTGCCATCATAACCTCTCGGGGAGACGAAACGACACAATAAATCGGCGGCTCCGTACCCGACTTCGAGAAATTCTCCCGCTTTGGACACCCGGTTTTTGAAATTTGAAATTCAAATTTCAAATTTCAAATATTTTGGGTTGGCGCTGGTTTTCCGAGATGATTTTCCCGCCAAAAAGCGATTGGGCAGTTCAAATTCCAGGAAATGATCGCATGTGCTTCCCGCCCCTGATGGTCCCCACAGGACCGGGAATTGGAGGACTCCTTGATGGGTAATAACCCAAGGATACCACCCGGTTGGTTCACCGAACAGCACGCGTCTTTTCAGCCCGGGTTATTTGACTGGTTGGCTGGGGAGACCAGACGCCAATACCCGAAGATCTGCTTTCAAAGTGCACCTGGTGGGCCGGTCAGCCGACTGACCGGTTGGATAATCAGGGACGTGCTTGACGTGCTTAGGATTATTATAAATACCCCTAAAAGCCTCATTTGTGATGCATGTTTTAATTAACCTGTACGGCTTGTATTTGTAATTACTCCTATTATCATTAATAACAAATCGGGTACAGGTGTTTCCACCTACAACCCTTCCGATTACTCACACTTAGTATTTGCGTGATAATTTACACCATCATCTAGAGTTTGAATGAGGTTTGGAAATAGCTAGGCTTTTGCGTTGAATTACTTTACTGCGAAAAATCCTCAAAATATAATTTAATATCAGTTCTATATATTGTTTTGTGTTACGAGACAAAGTCTTTCCAAAACTAAACAAATGATTTGGAATTACAATAGATAGGAGGAGAAGGTTAAAGGTTGATGCATCTATTTAACACGCTTCCCAGCACACCAAGGAGGATATAATGAGTGCAGGGTTCTTCTATGTTACGTTGATTTGCTAAGAAATATTGTTGCCAAGGGTACCGCTACGGAAGATCATGGGTGGCCCGGAAGGAGTCCAAAGTGGCCAATGACACAAGGCCCCTAAAATTTTAGGGCTCATAGTTTTAAATTCATCATTAAGTTTGAAGCATAAGTATTCTAAAATAATAAAATAGGATCCAAAATATAAATTATAGACCGGGCTAATTTAATTTTTTCATTTTTCGAGACCGGCCTTGCAGCAACATCGAACAAAATAGGTTCCAGAACTTAAGCAGATGGTTTCGGGAGTGGCGAGAAGATTCAGCCATTCTCTTTCACCCCACGGGGTGTCGAGGTCCCTTATGATAGCAAGTGGTCTCTAGTAGAGATGAGTAAAAGTACTAAACTTGTCAGACTCAATTGGTCTGACCGGGCAGGTCTTTTTGAAAGATCAGTACTATTTTACACAAAATCGATTTGGTTTTTTTTAAATCGGTCTGGAGTCTTTTGCATTTTGTAAGAAATAAGAATTTTTCAGGATCGAGTAGATGGGATCGATCTTAGTCTGGCCCTACCTTTATTCTTTTTTTTATTTTGTTTTTAAAATGTTAGATTTTAGTTTCTTAAAAAAAACTGAAAAAAATTAATGTACAACAAGTCAATATGTGAGCTTTTTTATGAATCTTGAAAAGTGAGCTTCTTACCACTTAGACTAAGAGAAAACAGATATTACATTGTAATCGAGTCAATAGCATTAAAAAAATAAATGTAACTTTTTTTAATCTTATTTTTGAAATATTACATTTTGTTGATTTATATAAAGTATTTGATGGGTGCGTTCTCACCCAAGACCCGACTTGGTGGTTCACGGGGTAGTTGATGATAGAGTAGTCGCGTTGAACCTGACTTGACCGGTCGAGCACCAAACCACCCGGGTTGGTTAACACCTGTGACATCACTGATCAGGGAGCATGACTTTCAGATCACCAAGACATTCATCTGAGAAACTACCCAAGCGCGCAATTCAGACATAGTGGCGTATACAATGATAGCTTGGCATACTTGAAGTGTAGTGACTAAGATGCAACTGGCCAGGCTGGATTTCCCTACCCAGGCAGGCTTTGTCAGACATTCCTCCCAAGCACTACGTGCCAAGAAGGACAGTTGCAGGAAAGAACATGAGTGTAGGACAAACGCTACGAATCGTCAGGTCGAGCATCATATCACGTGGTTGGCACGAGGTCAGGCATGGGCACTTGCTAGCCTGTCCTCCTAACCTCCCTATAAATACGCTTGTAACTTTCAATAGAAGAGATCCAACTCCTACCTCTCTAGAGCATATTGTATAATTCATCCATGCAATCTCCTTATATTTAATACTACCTCCGTCCCACTCTTTTTGTCCAGTTTTGACTTTTGGAACTGTTCATCTAAGCACTTTGACTCATCAAATTCTCTCAATGTGTAAGTCTAAAAATAGTCATGTGTGATCTTGTTTGATTTGTCTTAACATGTAGATTATTAGTATATAATTTTTATAATTTTTTAATACACAAATTACAAGATAAAATGGATTAAAGAAGTGCATTGGATGGTGTGCAAAAATGAAAGTGGACAAAAAGAGTGGGACGGAGGGAGTAACAATTAGGCTACAAATGTTCTCACCTACATTTCTCTCGGTCAATTTTCATTTCTTGAGTCTTTTCCGTACCTAAACTCAACGAACCACCCTAGACCCGGTCTAGAACAGATTGCCCGAGTGATAATTTACACCATCAGTATTTATGCAACATAAATGTATTTTTATGAGATAGAAATTAGATACAAAGAGTAATATAACATTTTTTTTATATTATGACATATTTGTAAATTTATAAAAAGAATATGAAGTATTATGTTTTAAATTGATAAGATATATGTATGTGTTCAAAACAACACCTTAAAGAATAGAAGTATTCATATAAAAGTTATATTTTAATGTTATATTATAAGACTAGTTGTAGTCCGATCCCAATCTAGTCCTTTCATAAGAGACCACCAGTCTAGTCAGCTCATCCAATTTAGAGGACCAAATAAGCGCCAACAAACCTTTCTAATGATTCCTGTGATTCGTGTAAAACTCAAGTGTAAATGGTCCGGAAAAAAAGGAAAGACAGAAAACAAACTGAAAAAAAGGGGGAATGTAATTTATATTCGAGTATATTATCTCTGCTTCACACAATTTCTCCTAGTTTTATTATGAAACCTTATTTTGACTTGAGACTACATAAATCCTCTGTCACTGTACAATCATGTGCATTGAGCAATTACAATTTTAAAATGATTGAACATCCAACAAGATCACTACTATTCATATATAGAACTGAAGCATATTTGTAAACCAAAAATGCAAAATTAAAATGTTTTTCTCATAGAATCATATCAATCAAGTAGAGACTATTGGTAAATTATTGCTCAAAGAATCATACCAATCAAATAAAGATGATACAGATACACAATGGCACGTTCTTTGAAATACTTGGGAAACAAAAGGGAAAAGCAAAAATGTGTTTTGGTTAACATGGTGAACAGAATCTTTTTGGACGGAAAAACCAAACCCTATCATTGTCACTCTTATACAACATTATGTACCCGGTTCCTGCATGCTCCTACACTCGAAATAATGTCACGCCTGTCCAAAATGATATTTTCCCGGTCGTGAATAAAAAAATCTAACAGATGTATGTCTTTCGCATGTATACCAACTAGTTCACCGACGTTTTTGTTATGAGAGGTATCCAAGAAAAAATAGTTTATTGGATTGTAATGGCCAACTGGAGCTTACCGAGCTGGACGAGTCTGGCAGGATTTTTGTATATCGTGACAGTTGCTGTATTGTTAACTGATAATACAACATGTGCAATGCTGTAAAATTCACCCTTTTCAACTGCAAACTGCCATTCCCTTGTGGATATGTTGAACCAATCCTTTCTCAGGTGTTTGGTTGCCTTTACTTCTATGTACTCTTTATCTTCCACTATAAGGTCATAAGGCAGCCCAGTCTCAAGAGTTTCGTTCACCCACTTCACAAATGTTTGGCCAACTTTACCAATGAAATACTTAAAAGCAACGTATTCCCCTAGCCTGCCCGTTAAGAGTGCCTGTTGTCTATCTGCTGTGCTAAGCGATAGTTGACCTCTATCACTGAAATTTGGAACTGAAGCCGGACCTTCTGATGTAGTAACATCAGGGAGAGAATCCAAACACATACTAGTACCAGGCATAGTATTGGGGAAGTCTAATGGTTTGACTTCTGAAATTTCAGCATCTAGTGCACCCACAGTCCGAAGTGCACCTGCTATTGAGCCCTCTTCGACGACTCTTTCGAGGTTAATATCAGTTGGAGCATGAGGGTGCTTTTCGGGATGCCTCATGATTTCTGCCACCTCATCCTCCGCCAGTACTTTCCCACCACTGCCCACCGGTGTTTTAAATGTAGACATGTGGGTGGAAGGAAAACCAGGTGCAGTTTTCCAGTCTACAGGGGGCCAATTAGAATTAATTCCTGGTCTCCTCTTGAATTTTACGGGATTTGGCTCCTCAGTTGTTTCCAATTCGAAGTTCATCATTGGCGCCTCTTCATTTACCATAGAAAATGCACTCTCCGAAAGGGACCAGACAAGTTCTCCCTCTGGGAGTTTGGACATTTTCTGACTGTTTAGAATGAAGAATTCAGTCTGCTCTTCGGTCGTGCCTGATTCTGCCATGGTTGTGATCATGTGAAGAAAATTCGCTAAGTGGAGATCAGGGGTTCCACCACTGAAAAGACGAGAAAGTTCCATAAATACAGAATGTGAATCGAACTCTCGAGAAACATACAATACGGTGTCCTGCAAGTCAGCACAGAAACCATCAGACCATGTACACAAGCACCTTCTATAACTCTATAAGCTTTGCTCTAAGTTCCAGAAAATCTAATTGAACAAACATAACAATGGTCTGCAACAGTAGATTAAAAAATCTTTTAGCCATTAACACTGCATCAATAAAAGATACTTAGTTCTTAGGATGTTTCTAGTCATTTTAGCAGAAAATTTCCCTCCTAATTATTTGTCCTAAGTGATTAGTTGGCAACTTAACACCACTCTGACTTACTATTGTCCGTTGTCAGTTACTTACAATACTTAGTACTTCAGAAAATGCAGTATTAAATTTATATCATGGTTTGAGTACCTTTAGAAGAGAGTTGCACTCGAACCTTTTCTTGGATGGCATCATGTTTCCTTTGATCACATTTCTGTAGAACAACTTCTCTACGACAATTACTTTAAGACTTTTCAGACTTTCAAATCCAGATTGCTTGAGCTGAGAGAATCTTTCGGGCTGATTGTTGTGTATGTAGCGTTGAGCATACGGAAGAGCCCAGTTGATCAGAGAAGCCACAAAAGTAGAATCAGAAACACCATAGTATATTGCTTCACGAGTTACAACCTGCAACGAGTTACAGTACTGCGATTAGATCAGCTATGTTATATGGCATTGGTCGGCAGAGGGTGCACATGAACACACTGTAAGTGTGGCGGAAATGAAGATGCTTCGATGCATGAGCGGTCATACGCGTATGAATATAATAACGAATGAAGATATGAAAGCTAAAGTTGGAGTGGCACCTATTGCAGATAGATATTGGAAACTCATCTTGGGCATTTCCAACATCTTTTTACAACTTAAAAGATCTTCGGCCTTTGATTTTCACAACTTAAAAGATCTTCGGCCTTTGATTTTCACAACTTTTGAAAGAAGTGTTGAAAAGTGGAAGAGGAGTGGTTAGAAATTGATGAGAAGAGAGACTTTTTTGGCCACATATTCTATTTCTTAAAAAGTGAAAATTATTTTGGGAAAGAAAGAAAAGGAAAGAAGGAAGATCATTTAGGGACGGATGGAGTATATATTTATCCACTTATGGGAATACACTGGGCTCGTATGATAAACTATACTACTCCGTAGTATATATTTATGCTTTATGATACATAGGCCATCATATTGTGGGTCCACTGCAACCTCACATTGTCCCGGTAACAACTTTGCTCTTAGCTGATACTACAACTGCATTTGGTTTCTCAAAAGAATCTGATTAAGCTTTATGATATGTAGGGAAAATATGATTGGAGGTTGATTGATGCAATCCATCAAAATTATTTTAAAAGGGCCAATTTTTTCCAAATCAGCTTAGGTCATGTTTTGGGAACAAATAAGGGGGGATATGAGTTCTTAAATCTCGAAAGAATGATATGGGCTCTAAAACTTGAAATAAAAGTGTTTGGAAATATCTGAAATGGCATGGAACAGAAAACACCACTATTTGAGAAGCATGTATGAAATCAAATGTTGTGTTCAACACTGTTTTAATGTAAATGGATTGTGTTAGTTAAAAATGGTCGAGTACATTAAGAAAATTATATTTTAACTTCTTAATGGAGATTGTTGATCAATGACGGTGGTGGTTGTTTGCCCAACAATGGTGATGGCAGTTGTTGGTGACAGCGGGTAGCTTGGTGGTGCCTGACAGCAGTGATATGGTGGGTGGGTGGATGTTGTCCGGCAGTGGTTGGCGATTATGGTGATGTGTGTGGCTGGCGACAACAGTGGTGAGTGACGGCTGCAGTGGTGGTGGGCAATCAATTGAGGTGGTGGCTAATGGCTAATGCCAGTGGCAGGTGGTTGTTGGCAAAGAGGGTGATGGTGGATGGTTGTTGACTAACTGCAATGCTAGTGTGTAGTAGCGGTAGTGGCAACAGCAAGCGACCACGGCGTTGGTTGTTGGCGACTGCAATGATGGGTCATTGACGGCATTGTTGGGGGGTAATGATAGTGGCAAGCCACAGTGGTGGTAATTGTTGGTGGTTGGTGGTGGATGGTTATTGGCTAACTGGGGTTGTGGTGGGTGGCGACAATGACAACAGTTGTGGAGCCCAACGACGATGGTGGCTGGCCAGTGGAGGTAGTGGTTGCTGGCTAACAGTGGTGATGGTAGAGGGAGGTATCAAAACACCCAGTTTTGATATCTTCCTAAGGCTTCTGATCTGAATTTTTTAAGATTTGATATAATTTAAAGTTATTGCTGATTTGATTTGATGTATGATTCCAATAATAATAAGTAATAAGTAGAAAAAATAAGTTGAAGAGAATGAGGCCTAATACAGACATATCAAAACACTTCAATTTGGGGGATTATGATATCAGGAGATATCAAATCCTAACCATGTTTATGCTTCACCAAACACACACAAAAGAGTTCGGATATTGGATTTCAAACCCATATCTCGGGAGCTCGCCATACAAGCCCTTGGAGAGCTGCACAAGCAGCTGAAGAGAACAGTATGGTTCAGAATCAGAACTAGAACCACTTCTGAAGGGATCTAGAAAAGCGTACAAGTACAACAATGTGCAAAGTGAGGTTAAGCTTACCTCTGAAAGAGCGGGGATGCCAAGCCTTTGCATGAGAATTGACACCTTTGAGTGCAGCAACTCCTTTTCCTCGCTGATAAGTTCCCCAAAGTGCAAGAAGTCAATGTTTTCATGATGCTTGAATTCCTTCTTCAGTATATCATCATCACACCAACAAATAATGCCAAAAGATGGATTTAGAGATACCCATTTATCCTGTACAGTGGGGAGCACAGTAAAGTCCTTCTGCCGAAGATTATCTTTCAGGTGTTCAAGATCTTCCGAGCTAAGCAAGCCTGATTTTAGTTCTTCAGACCACTTTACAAACACCTGAAAAAACTGGATAAGAGAAGAATTTAGTTGTGCTCTTAAAGCAGTAAATCATCAACATGTGGCACTTATATTTCCTAGTGTAAGTTACTTACAGTCTTAGCCGCCTGGCAAGGTAAAGCAACAGCCGACAACTGTAGCAAAACCTGAAGGTAACCACGAAAAGGCGGGAACTCAACCACTCCACACACATTCACAAAAAAATCGTGAAGGCTAGGATACACACTACATAACATATTAACAACAGGGCGCTGAGCCATATCTGCAGCATGTTCAGAACGGACTGTTTTCATTTGCTCTGTAAAACCGATAGGATCACGCCAAAAGACTTCTTTACTCGATAAAAATACCCCAGACACATCCTCGGACCAAGAACTACACAAGTGTGGGACAAATATGAAAGGACCATCACACAGATCATTCACGACTCGTAGATCAGAAGTAGATATTCCATCCCATATGAATGTGTAGAACTTAGACATTTGTGATAAGCTGGGAGCAGAAAATAAGACAATAATTTGAGCAAGGAGTAAAAACTTATCCTTCATTAAAAATAAACTCTCCAGTAGATCAGACAGACAAATACAAACAACTAATTGAGTACTTTTTGTATTTTGTGGGCATTTGAAAAAGTATTGCATACCTGGCTCTCACGGATGATTCAGACCTTGTCCAAACCTTAAGAATAGATAGGGCATCATCAATTGTTACCTGAGTTTTCAAACCGATCACACTCAGCAACTTCTTGCTCTTCACCTGCTTTGTGAAAAAAAATGTTAAGTACAAACATGTAATGCTATTATAAAAATTTATATGCAGAAATACGATGTGCAAACAATAACGTATAGTTTTAGGCTAGGAAGTAAAACTAACAGTATATTGGTAACACATGCATCTATCAACCATTCACTATGTCATTAATAACATACTTCAAACTCAAGTAGAAATAGCAAAATACTCTTTTGATATTAAAAAAAAAGTGATGTCATATTTAAATACTACTTAACGAAAATGCTTAAACATCGAATCCAAGATTCAAATTGTTGGTGTTCCACATGTAAAGAGGGATTTCCACTTCAATGACACCTACTATTATCAAAATCAAATGCATATACCTTTGCATACACATACTATACATAGGAATACATTTAAATGCATGGCTATTATTAATATATGAGGAAAAGTGGGGAGAGGGGCAAATGACCCACTTCTCCCTCCCTCTCCCTCAATATGCCGTTGCAGAAAATCTATTCAGAAGTGTTTTATTCAAATCAAGCTCCCTCTCCAATCAATAGTAAGTGTCCAATATATAGGAGAAAAATGCAGAACTGTAAAACTCAAGAGGAAACTGCCCATCTTATAATAAAAAACACGTTAAGATATACAAAGGCATCTGAATTTGGCATGTAAAAAGGTCCATCTTTGCAAAATATTAGAGGTGTAAGCCTCATACACCTTATGAGACGTGCCCCAAGCGAAGGTCTAACCGAGAGAGACAAGCTTCTCAGAAACAGATTGAAGCAGAAGCGTTGAGAACACTTTTCTATAGCTTCATCTCAAGGTGAGCAGTAACCAGTTAGCACAAAGGTGTAAGCCTCAACAGCCTCACTAAACTACAATTCAAAGGATTTAGTAGAAAACAAAGAATGTAAAAAAATGCAATCACATCCAGTCCAAGAGAAAATAGAGAAGCAAAATAATAAAGACGAACAGAAACTAAAAAAATTGGACCGCAAAAATGGTAATCTCCCTCGAAATTTGTTGTGTCCACTTTGGGCACAACAATGAATAAATTGAAAACTATCTGGTTCAGATTTATGCAAAAGAAAAGAGCAATATTTTGAACCACATAGTACTTTCTATAGATAGAAACATGCACAATAAATTGGGGCAAGCCAAAAAGAAAAACAGAGTCAACAAATTGGTACAGTAAATGGTTCTTTATGACACAAATTCTCTTTCATGAGTAGTGATAAACCAAAGTACAAAGTGCATGACTTAGAATCCAGGTTTGAGAACAAGGCTATTCTTCTGCCTTTTACAGCACATCAATTTATTATTTCTTATATTTACCTTGCAGTTTATGAAAATAAAAAATAAAGAAAATGGACACACTTTTTGGAAGCCATGATCCTCAAATAGGTATTTCAGAACCATTTGAGCATTTCTTCAAGAAAAATGACTCTTTAAAATGTGCTTCTTTCAATAGTGAAATAGCAGTTAGTCAACCCAATCATGGGTCATCTGGAAACAGCCGCTCTATGTTTTAACATAGGGGTCAAGCTCTGTCTACGTGATTACTTGTACTTGAGCCGGGGGGGTCTCTTTGGAAACAACCTCTCTACTTTCAAGTAGGTGTAACGTTTACGTACACACACCCTCCCCAGACCCTACTCTTGTGGGAATCAACTGGGTTGTTGTTGTGTTGAGAATTTCTTCAAGCCCTAAAATATCTTGAGCTATGAGTTTTACAACCCGTCCATTGCTAATGGAGCTAAAAGAGCCATCATTGACAATGTTTTAGTTTCACGCTCATAATTGATTTAAATAAGTCAAAATAAACTTCCCTTGGTTCTTACTCTAAATGAAGTTCTTTGCGATAATTACAACGGTGCATGCTTGATTAGAAACAAGGGTTATTTTTATGAAGGCATTTGATCGTTGCATTACTTGATTTATGAACAGAAGTTCGGTAACTTTTTTAGGGTTATTTGATTGTTTAAAATTAGGGTTATTTTTATATTTTTTGTGAAGGCATTTGATGGTTGACACTAGTCAAAGAGCTAATACAGGAGTTCGACAAACTGAAGCTTCTTGGGGTCAGCTTTTTTACAACATTTAGATTTTACTTAAAATAAGGGCTATTTTTATATTTTTTATGAAGGCATTTGATTTTTACTTCATTTATAAACAAAAAATGAACAAGCAATATTTTGTACGAAATTAGTGGACAACTACTTTTTATTTTACAACAAAAATATAATTACTTGATTCTTAAATTATTTTAATTTAATTATGTGTGTGATGAATGAAGTAATGATCAATAAAAAAAATTGTTTTCCATTTGCTTTATATTTATGATGTTTTGTAATTAAATAGTTTTGATTCAAAGAAAACTATTATATCCTAAAGTATGAAAACAATATTGGGAAAAGGGGGAAAATTATACTTGTATATTCAAAAAATAGTAAAATTAAAAAAATTTTTATGATCAATATATAAATTTACATGCAGTTGGATGAAATATAGGTTTTTCAAATTTGTAAACCAAATGAAAGTAGTAAATTAACTCTTTTACGGAGTACTCCGTAATAAACTATGGCCAAAGATTCAAATAAAAAAATCAAGGTAGGGGTATTTAAGAAATTTTGTGCAACTAATTTAAGAACAGCTCATCTTGCCAAACACTTTCAGAAACCGTTCAATGAAATAACAGCTGACTGCCCCCAATAAGTTGTTAGTTAAAGTTGGTTCTTTTGTGCTTGTGATGAGGGCTTCTTCTGAACTCCAGTACTAAACATCAAACAAGTAGAGCAACATAGAAAACTAAACTGGGAAGGTTTCCCTTGGGCATGAGAGTGCAACGGGTATAAGGGTTGTGATCAAGTCATGGGATGATATAATCAAGAAATACTGCTCTTTCAGGAATCTTTGGATACTATTTACATTTTTAGGAAAAGCAGAAAGCCAGGAATAACAAATCAATGTGAAGACAAAAAAATTAATTAATGGCATGATATTTCTTTAAAAGGTAATCATTCAAGTTCCTGAAGATTCCTTGGTGTGGAAAAATAAAAGAGCTCACAAAACAAGGAGAATTTGACAGCCATGGTTAACCCAAGCCCAACGTTAGCAAATTACAAACCAATAATTTAAAATAACAATTAACATACAGGTAGATATCATTACAAAATTTACAAGTTTGAATTTGATATATACATATATACACACAAATGCACACACACCCTCCGTCCCTAAAAGACTTTCTTGTTCACTATTCATATGGTCAATCTTTGATCACTTTCGTTTTCATTTGCCATTTTCATTACTCGTTTGATAAAAATAGTCTTGTCACCTCTTGTTTTGTAGATTTTTTAATGTAGTTTTGAAATATATATTTTTTATTTTACACCAATTTTCATATAAATTAAATTGAAAATAACTTAATTATATATATATATATAAATATATATAAGGATTAAAAAATAAACAAACCAACCTTTGGAAGAGCATAGGGTGCAGAGGCACCCAAAACTGATCGCACCGGCTCGCAATCAAAGAACAAGTCGCTAGGAAAGTGGAGATTGTCATCCAAGGTCGAACCAATCCATTGAACATTACGAATGCTGCTGGCAAATGAAGATTCAAATAGTTTCATTTCACCATTGGAATTAAAAAAGAAACCGTTAACCTTGTCATTGAAACAATCATCCCACAAGGAATCAAGGATCTCCAAAAGATGCTTGGACTTCTCTTTACCATTAACAGCAGATAGTCGTGACAGCAAATGAGCAAATTCTTTGGATTCCCAATCTTTGACCTTTAACTCTCGAGAAAACAAATCTTTATCCCAAGTTATACTTTGTATAACTACTTGAGATAAATCCGAGATGCTTTTCTCAACTGGAAAGATTTGTACAAAATCAGTGATCCCCAACTCCATGAAGAAGTTTCTCCACTTTGAAACTCCTCCTGGCAATAATGTTGTAATTGGATGCTCTAAATACACATTATGAACTTCAACCCATTCCACACTAAGGCCTGTTACTAACTGCTTCATGTCAATAGGATTCTCATACTCTTTGCTGAAATGGATTGGAACCTCTGCACATCGCTTGTAACCACAATTTGTTAAAATGGGAGCTTTGTTGCGTAATTCATCAATGATAAGATCTCTTTCCAGATGACAGTTGGGGCAGTTAGACTGTAGATGGAACATCATGAAAGAAATATAATCAGTCATTAGACCATCATGTGAGGTGTGTTGACCATCAGAAAGAAGAGGAAGAATGTGCATCTTTATTATTTCATGTGCCGATAACTGCTGAACACCAACTCTATACAGCATCCTAACAATATTTTCTACAGTAGATGCTTGAAAGCACGTATCATAAGCTGTATCTGCAGAGAATAGAGCAGAACTCACGATTCTAAGTCTAGCATATACCATTGGGAAATTCTCCAGACCATTCTTGTCGCTACTACTAGTGCTCAAAGCATCAGCGTGCAACCAAATAGTGCCTTCATCCATTGAGCTAAATTTTCCATCTGAAAGAGGAATAAACCGAAGTTTCCTCAGGCTATTTGTGATATCTGGTCCTATTCCAGAGTCAGGTAAACATTGCCCAGAGCTTGGGATGGACATCATATGGATGCAATTAAGCCATGCTGATAACCAAGGTAAGCCCATGGATTCCAAAGCACCCTCCTTACAGCACAAAGAAGATAAAATCTGGATAAGAATTTTGGGTCCATATTCTTCAATTCCCAGACCCCTTGCTAATGAATCAGATAAAACAATATCTTTATGCAAATATCCAAGTCCAAGATGCTCATAAAGCAAGCTATCAGGAAAAAGAGTGCGAGCCTGCTCAGTCCAGTTTCTCAGAACTTTGCAAGGTGGAACCCACTCATTCTTCTCACCATCTAGAATCAAACAGTTTGACATCCGCAATTTAGAGAGAATCATCTGAGGAAGACTAGAAAAGAATCCATGCACTTCCCCTATAATGGGAACAAAAGTCAGATATGCTGCAACACCCTTTGCTGGATCATTCCTAAAGCACGGAAGATTGCAAAATGATTTCTCCGCATTAACAAACAAGTTAGGAAATTCAGAGAGTAACCACTGATTCCAAGGGCTATTTCCATCAACTTCTTCCCTGGATGAAGGCAAAACAAAGTCACCCTGAAGAATAAACTTTAGACCATATTTTCTCAGAGGAAGAAATGCAAAAACAGGCTGTTGGTTCAGATTCGGAATGTAGCTTCCATCAATTGTCTCCTGCAATGTAAAAGCAATGGATATCTCTGTTGTTTGCACATCAGGACGAATAACATCAGCCCGTAATTTATGGGATACCACAAGCCAAGACATTTTTTCATTTCCACATGAAACTCTAACAATACCATCACCAACAACTTCTTTCCGCATTATAATAAATGAATTCCTAATCATATCTCGAAACATGATACATTTAAGTCGGTGAAGAAATAGTAGTAAAGATGGGTGAAGATCTGCAAACATTGATGCAATGCTATTTATAGCAGAATCTACTAAAATGTTTGATCTGAAAGGGAGGACAATACATGTCTTCCAGCAATTGGATGTGATGGGGTCTTTATCTGTATAGACCAGTCTGGAGTAGAAATCAACGTCACATGAGGGGATAAGAGTTGGCAAAACAAACCCTATCTGTCCCTTCGTTATATCAAACTTTATATTAAAACCATTGGAATGAATTTCAGGAGCATCAGTGACCTGCAGAAAAAACAAGTTAGATGCTGAACAAATATAAGTTGATAATATAGCTTTGTTTAGAAAGCTTATACATAAGAAATGACAATGGAGCCAGCTTAGTTACTGACAATTGCATTTCTTTTGCAGTACCACCAGAGCAAATAATTTCTGGCAAATAAAAGTTAGGTGCTCACAGTGTATGGTAACTGTGGAAATCCTAATACTTTTTGTACATTTATAGCTCATGACAAACAGATATGTCAATAAGAAAATGGCAGTTTTTAGTAAGTGATGGATTTGCGGGAAGGAGTGGAAGCTACTTGTGCACAGTTTTCAGTATTACATCCCCTATTAACCACACTATTTTATGAACTCTCACCAAAGAACTTTCCTTGCAGAATAGAGAACTCTACTACTCTAGTTGATTAAAAATTCATCAAATACAAGAATATGTGCAGTACCCGAAACACAGATTTGAAACCAATGCCTTTCTTTCCAATATATCCAGAACTATGTCCTTTCTTTGTGGAATTCCCCACATCGCAGAGCGCTCTGATGTTCTTTGCAGAAAACCCTTGTTCATTATTTAGCACTACAATGCCCTTATCATGAAGAATGAATGTCAATGTGGGCTCAACATTTTCAAGGTAGATGTTGTCATCTGCATTCTGAACCTGAATCAACAACATTATGTCCCAAGACATTGAGTTAGATATTCTCCCTTCGAACTGGTCAAAGATTGCAACTGTCTCATAGTTGACAATGATAACAGAAATCAAAAAATTACCCCCTCCATCCCTAAACAATCTCCTGGTTTCTGTTTGACCGAAGTTATTTTCAATTCAATTTATACACACACACACACACACATATATATATATATATATTGGTGCAGAATTAAAAATATAATTTTAATATTTAGAACTACTTTAGAAGCTCTACAAAACAAGTGGTGAAAGACTACTATTCTATCAAATTACCAATGAAATATTGAAAATAGGTAAACATAGGGGCTGCAGTTTGATCCCATGAATAGAAAATGGGAAGATTATTTAGGGATGCGGGGCAAAATGCAAAAGCCTGGTGGTTAAACCTTGTACAACTTTTCAGCTTATGCATTACAAAAAATACAATTAGTTCGGAAACAACAATACAATTAGTACGGAACACACATCGGCTTTTACAACAATTAAGAATATAACAAAACTTCAAGAGCAAAGCTCAAAGAATTATTTACGTAGTGTGTTGTTGAACTTTTTCCATACCACAAATGAAAGAATTAATCCAAAGTTCAAAAGAATGTAAAATGTAAATGAATACAATTTGTTTAGGTGCTGATAATAGTACTATAGTACGGAGTAATATGTTTCATGAAATAAGCAGATGTGTTCGCTATTGTTCCCTCCATTGTTTGGAGGAGCCGTGTTTTTATAATGCACCCATAAATATAGACGCAACCACAGTTGCATCCATGCACAGACCCATTAAAATCAGCAGCTAACAAGCAGCGGTATAAATCAGTTTTAAGTATGGTGCATAGAAACATAGGGTGTTAAACTTCTTATTCCTGTCAAAAAAACATGTCCCTATAATTTTTATAAAAATTGTAAGCACTAAGGATGCATGCAAAAAATCATTGTGTGATAGGGGTTTCACACAAATGTCCTCTGTACCAAGATTTGTAAGCACTATGGATTCATGCAAAAAACTATTGTGTGATAGGGGTTTCACACAAATGCCCTCTGTACCAAAGACTTCTTAAGAAGGAATAATAAGATGAAAATTCCAAAACAGTCATCATCGCAAGTTTAATTCCACGAGACGGTGATTAGTTGGTGTATTTACCAGTCATGTCCATTTAATGATTGATATTGTACAAACATGTGAATCGTAGAAAATGAACGTTTACAGATCTCTATAAGTATAGTAAAGCATTGAGCCATTGACATCACATATTAGAAAAGCATACCAACTAATATAGGCAAATATCCAGACTTAGGATTCACAACTCCAAAGTATCTTCAAAATTATTAAAAGTTAAATGATATTAAAAATTCCTTGTAACACTTATTTAAAACTCGGCACTCAAAATTACTATCACGTGCACCTATACGGCTTTACCAACAGTAAGGTAGAATGCACAAAGTGATTTCTTAACCATAAGAGTAAAGCTAGAGCAGTTAAATAATGCAGTAACTTTGTAGAGAAATTCTAATTTCAAGCTCTTATACGATACAGAAACATGAACTAGGCAGCAGAAAGCGAATGCAAAGAATAAACTCACCAGTTCCAGAAGGAAATGTGAATCCTGAGAATACAGCTCATGTGAGAGACACTGGAGTGCTCTGCCTAACCGGGCATGTTGCTTATTCAACATTTCACTTTCAACAGATGAAATATTAGGATTCAAACCAAATTCTTCCTGTCTTATAGATTCAACAACCTGGCCTGGACTGAGGTCATAAAACTGATTTATCGGACCTCCACCCGAACAATCAACAGGACCAGCAGCAACCTTACTAGTTTCGCTCATTTCTCTGTGATTCCCATTATGCAGCATTGTCTCAAGGGAGAAATCTTTAACTTCCGGAGAGGGAAGTACAGTACTAGATTGCAACAGATTTGAATTGGTGTTTAGTTCAGCCATGCCGTGTGGTAGGAAAGAAGTTTCAGAATACATTGATAAACAGGTGGCAGATGCAGAAGCAGAAAATGTGTAGTAATCATCGATCCATTCCAGAATACCAAGTGAAAATCCAATGTCATGAAGCATGACACGATGTTTAATCACCCTGCATTCCTCTAGTACAGCTGAAGCAGCATCTTTGGCAAACTGCTGCAACCCGGAGAGCAAAATATCAGCAGCAAAAGGGCAGAACTCAAGAGGCATATAGTCCAGGCACTCAAGTATAAACCTTGATGCAACACAATTCGCTTTATGAAGTCTGCTCTCAGTTTTCAGTAACACGGTGTTTACATCACTGGGCATTCCGTGCTTATCAATTGAATCCATATCTAGAAAATTTTTGGAAAAAACTTCAAAAGCCTTGCAGGCGTAGCATTTCAGGAGGGCCAAAGGAACATTGTGTTCGCCACCATATAAAGTTAACAAAGACAACAGCTTCAAAGCAGTTTCAAAAGGAGATTTTTGCAGAAGAACTTCTAAGAATGAATCTGTAGTTGCTGAATGATCTACTCGAATTACTTTCCCGCCTCTGGTCACCAAACACAACAATTCTTTAGTATTAGCCTCTTTCAATAACCAACCAGCAAGAGAACCAAGTGAAGGAGCAAATGCAAGGTCCCAGTGAGACCACAATCTTAAATCGGTAAGCATTGGAGCATTGAGCAAAACTTTCATAACATCTTTGGATGTTGACTGACTGTAAGAACAAGCAACACTTCCTGTACTATATTCCAAGCAGGAAATTTTTGAAATATTTATCCCACCTTTACTCAATCCTTCAGCTTTGAACAAAGTTTCAGAAAATATTATACACTTCGAGCTCAAGGCGGCTTTCTCATTTTTACTATAATCTAAGTTTACCAACAAATCAGGATGTACCAGCTGAAAACATACCAAAGGGAATTGTCGAGCTAGCAACTCAGAAACCTTTTGCATGTTTAACTTATCGTTATCCAATAAAATGTGCAAAGCCTGCGATACCAAGACATCCAACTGAAGCTCAAGCATGGAAGCCTTCAGAGGATGATTCTCATTAATATCACTTATCAAGCTCTTCTGAAAAGCATTTGCAAAGAAATGCATATGTTTTTCAATGAATGACCAAACATCTCCATAACCAAGTGACTCAAATCCTTTAGAGGAGAATTGGTCAGATAACCAAGATTCAAGCTTGCATAGTTTCCTCAAGATGGTGAACTTATCTGTGAATGAATTAAATCGGTCACTGTCAACCTCTAGATATGCAGAAATTTTGCTCACAATGTCCTGAACTGAGACACCTGCAGAAACATACAAAAGTCTGAGTGAAGTGGAATCTACATATAGACATTAAAGAAGTAATATAATTTGAAAGGTTCAAAAGTGTTAAAAATTAAATCTTTGATGTGGACAAACAAAAGTTCACCATGATGTTGGAAAATAATGAGCACTTCACAAGTATGCAAAGGAAGCAAGAACTTGTTAAGCATATGAGCAAACCAGTAATAACCCTCATTTCTCCTAAAAATGAGAAAATCCCATAAATGGCCCCTAGTAATAAGTGGTTTTCCATATTTAGTCCCTACTTCTCAAATATTACGAATGTAGTCCCTGTTTCTTAAGTTCTTTTCCACGGCTTGTCTTTAAATATGTAACTTTCCACCCCAACCTTTCAATTAAACCCCTCCATCTTCATATACGCCTCTCTTTGCATGGTTAGGGTGTTGGATTCAGATTGTCCTATGCAAAGAAGACAAAGACAATAACTTTCGAGTTATGTGATGAAGACTAAGCCTGGGTTTAGGGTTCCAAGGGGTGGCTGAGAATGGGGGAGGGGTTTAATTGAGAGAAGAGGATGTGAAACTACCTTTTTAATCCTGCATTGAAAAGGTAGATAACAACATGAGTGGCAAAAGACTGGCTGTAGAAAAGACCCAAAGAATTGGGGACTATGCTTGTAATATTTGATAAGTAAGGGCTAAATATTGAAGACCACCAATTAAGGGTCTGTTCCATTCAACTTAATTTTTTCAGCTTATTACTTATTCTTATTAAATTCAGATCAAATCAGACCAGATTATATCTAATTAAATATAATCAGATCAGACCAGATCAATTCACATCCAGAACTAAATTTGCAGCAGGTTTAGATTGTTTGGTCATGACAGTTCTGTAAGATACACAGTGAAGTACAAGACACCGCACTTCAAACAGTGACACGAAGTCAAACAAATATGGAGACTAATATGACCCTATAGAACATTTATACTTGCCTAATTGTGTGTAAATAAACATTTCTCTAATGAAGGCAAGATTTTAAAGTTACATTTAGAGCTTGATTGAATCATACTAAAATATACAAGGTGAGAACTACTATGGACTGAGGCTAGAGTAGACACCAAATTTTAACCCAAACCTTAAGGCAATGGGTTATGGATCTTAAGAGGTCTTCTCCATTTATATACTCTATAATTCATACACACTCAACTAATGTGGGACTTGCTTATTTCTAATAGTCATATTAAGCTACTATTTGAAAAAAATTATCACAAAATTTGCTTTTCTGGAAGCCTCTACTCTGGAGCGGTTTAAAAGTGAAAATAGAGTGATATTCCTACTATCAGGGCTTGAAAGATCGCTCTATATTTTCCATTTTTCACTGAGCTGCTTTTAAAAAATGTGATCTCTGCCTAAATGAAAAGTTTAGTGACTAGCATAAGAACTAAGAAATAGAAGCACATGAAAGAGAATTTAAGATCAATACAAATCTCACATGGTTCAGCTTCCAGAAGTTCTTGAGGGAGGATGGACACATTCTTTCTAGGCAATGGTGATGGTGATTCAACATCAATAGATATAAAATCAGAATGATTCTCAGATCGCGTGTTTGCTACTTCAGGTTGACTCATATCCTGAAAGGCATCATACATGCTATCCCACATTCCATTTTTAATGGATGTCACCTATCACAAACACATGAAAGTAGATAAGCAAATTGCCTTAAAATACAATGACAATAAGTTAATGAATGACCCTGTAAATCCAAAACTATAATAGGAAAATATCAACTATCGAGTTAACACTAGTAAGAATAAAATTGATGAAACCCGTGGGTCAGGACTCATGACCATCCACCGAGAAGGATAACCCATAGCCAAGCCACAAGAAAATAAATTCCCAAATGCATAACCATAAATCATGAAATTTGATCAAACCGTATATACTATCAACTTTTCTCCTCTGTTTGGTTTTCAGGTTCATTACAAAACTACAATTCCTATGGTATGTAATTAAGACAATGATTTGCAATGATATACTATTTTGCAGTTAATGGGTCCTTGTACATGTTGACACATGATTCCTTGTTCCTCTACACAATGTGTAGATAATTTACTCTTAATGGAAGTACTGAACTAGTAATAAGGATCTTGAGTTAAAAAATAGTTATTTGCACTCTCCCAAGTTTTAGTCCAACAACTTTTAGTTCCGTATGATTAGGATGAACACTCAATTTCTTTGAAATAACAAATTCAACAAAGCTGGAGGGAGGCAAACATGCACATTAAGCCCCCCATGCAATAAGAGGAACTTCAAAGCCTTATGGGGCAGTCATCAACAAGAAACAATTGTTTCATTCTAACATCTGCAGAGTTTGAGGACAATGTAGAATAGATCCTTAATCAAAAGGTTCAGAAAAGAATGTGTGGCACTGCACATGTATCCACTTCCTTATGTGCTTATACCTCTCTGCATCAATAACTGAAGTCAAAATTAATGCTTCCAGTGAAACTTACAGCAATATGAAGCAATCCTACACATGGGTACAAGGAAAACAATCTTCTTGCTGTTGATCTTGATTTTTTGCTTTCTGTATAAAACAGAAGCATCTTATTAAACACCTAAAAGAACAGGAGTAGACCAGAGTCAGCATTTTAAAGATGTAACCTTAAGGTAATAAGAGAAAGGGAGAAGTAGGAACACAATTGCACTTAACGCCACATCCCCTCCCCAGACACACACACCCTCCAAACAAAGACACCGCGTAGATTATGGATAATCTCTCAATCCCAAAATGAAGCTTACAATACCTCACGGAGGTTAAGAAAAGTGTTGAAAAGTAATTAAAAGAAAAGTGCTTGAAATTTGTTTAGAAGAGAAATGTTGCGAGCATCATATTCCCTAATAGAAAAGTAAGGAAGTGTTTGGGAAATCCCATAACGAAAAGTGTGAACTTCATTTTTGGATGGAGGAAATATATATTATGCTTAGGTTATAAATGCAAATTATACAGGAACATCTATTTCCCTTTCCTGGAGAGAAAGGGTAAAATTGAGGCCCACAGTTTCAAGGGACTTTTTGGATTAACTAGTGTGCAAGACAAGACCCAGCACTGCATAAGCAGAATTCATACTAAACACGCAGTGCAAAGAAGCTGCGTGGCTACCTCCACCACCATCAAAATAAACAGTCTTACATCAGCATCAGGTCAAGAAGCCTAAAGCTGACCACCAACCACCCAAAGTTTGGTGCAGAAAGCTTACTTAAAGGAGTAAGTTCAAGTGCTTTCTATCTTGTTAAACATCATGGAAAAAAGTTTTTTCTCTACCTCATCCACATTGTTTGTTTGACATGTCTCCTTCCAAGTGGTAATGAACATCTTCATCGAATCACTTCCAAATGAGCAATCAGCAGAATCAGTTGTGCTTTGCTTCCCTACCCTATTAATCTTCTTCCCAGAAGTCCCAGGTGTTTGGGCCCTTTCTGATTTGAACTCTTTCTTTGCACAAGAAACAGAACTCTGAATATTGCTGTGTTTCCTTTTTCTTTTGGATTGTTTAACACCGTTGCTAAATCCCAGACGCGTTATTTCTTCAGTTACTGATGGATAAGGACAAGTACTCGCTCTATCGGAGCTATTAACATTTTCATGATGTACATCATTACCACCCTGCTCATCTTCAGATTCATCATCATCATTGGCACTATCCTCAGAGCAGCTGGATAAAAAGAGTGTATGTTTCCCACTGTCAATGTCAATTTCGTTAACAGATGAGAATGCTTTGACACGCTCTGATATAGCTCTGAAATGTTCATCCATCTGCTTTTTCTGTGAGGATAAAAGAGGGTGTTTTCTAAATTTTTTAGTGGATCTCCTTCTCAATGGCTTCAGATACTTGGTCACATTGGTGACCTCTAACTCTTTTGCTTGTCGAATCAGTGTGATATGCATCCTGAAATTTAAGGGAAAAAACAGTGAGGAAGCTAAATATGATGTTTAAGTAACAAACCTTAAATAACTATTATTGATTCCATGTGCAAAATGGGACCCTAGCCATGACTTCGTGCTTCCTAATCCTAAATTAAAACACACTTACTGTCTCACAATCATGATGGTATAATAACTTTTACCACATTAGCTTATGCTCATGCTGTTCTACCCTTCGTATACAAGTCATTATGCACTACTGTTATACATAAGTAGTGTAATACAAATTGAATTGCAGCTTTCGAGCACAATGGGGTGGAGGCAGTGCTACTCTAAATTTGTACTTGTAGGCCTAAAATTTATTAAATCATTCAAATTTTATAATAAATAATTGGACCATACTGGGGGTGGGCCAGGCCCAGTAATGCCCACCCCTAAATCCACCATAAACATATTTTTCATATGAAGGATAAGGATAGCATACCCCAAACTCTGAATTCGCACACCAAGCTTTTCCTTGGATGTTACGGATTGTTTCTTTGCAATAAAATCCAAAAGCTCCTCAATGTCTACTTTTTTATGTTTATTGGTATCCATGAACTCAGAAAGCAAAGATATTATTCCATTACTTGTTATTCTGCAGATTTCTGTCATGTCTGCGCTTGGAGAAAAATAGTGTGCAACTAATGGATGTTTCACCAAAGGACCCAATTCAAGTTCTTCAAACCGCTCAACCCCCTCAGTATTGCATATTGCAATTTCCAAATCATGCAATGTTGTAATTCTTTGAGTCCCAACAAAGCAGCGAATGAAGGAATTAATCTACAAACACACAACACTATAAGAACTTTGTATAAAGAATCCTAGAAGATCCCTAATTGCAAATGATTGTAAAATAATTTTTTAATGCAGTTATCACCCTAAAACTTCAGGGAAAGATAATTTCCCCCTAATCTTAATTCAGTCATTTTATATATTCATCTTTAGCATGCGGACAAAGTTACCAACACACTCAAGGGTGAACAACCGTGGATCACCCACTTAGCAGTGCACATGATAATATGTAAGCCAAAAGAAATAGCAAAAGCTGCATTTAGTTGGCGGGAATGATATGACCTTATTAATAACAAAGTTAATGACCTTAATAAAGGAAATAGATCAAAATATATGAAGCAAATTATAAAGGAAGTCTTCAACCATATGAATTGAACATTTTCACCAGATTAAACATGATACTATAAGATATTACAGCATCCATAATGTGCATAGTGCCCAGCTCAGTCATTAACTTACAACCTTATGAGCTGTTAATTTATGAGAGTTCTCCTAAATATATTATAAAGGTAACAAACTGACAGAATTGTCTCTATTTGTGTGTCCACACACATATATACATATACATTATATAATTAAAAAGAAAATAACAGTTATCAAAAGTTAAAATGATATTAATCCATTCTCATCTTTAAAAAAACCCTTCCACATACCAAATGCCATCAATTGTGGTTGTTCACAATACTGGAGTATGATTAAAACGCAGTTCATTGAAATTTTAAAAAGGTCAGTCTCTTAAGGCATGTTCCTTTGTGTGATCTGATTGGTTATGATTTGTATTTATCAAGATCTGATCTCAAGTGATATTATCCTAGTTAAAGTCATAGTTATCACAGCGCCAAGGCGAGGCGCGGAGCCAGTGTTATGCCATGACGCCTAGGCGACAAGTAGTACTTGAGGATTTTCTATACATTAGTAACACTAGTATAAATATATCACATTATAACTTATATGTTCTATGTTGTAGATGATAACGTTTAAATTTAAAATTCACCAAAGTTTAACATCCACGTGAAAAATGCCATATGTGTGCTCTATAAACCTATTCAAAAACACATATTTAAAAAAATAATATAAACATGCCGGCATTAAAAATATTGAATATGAAAACATTAAAAAAATGATAAAAGATTTTTTAAAAAAATTATTTAATGACGGCAGACAAAAGTACAGTAAGTTGCTTTTTTATTGGGGTCAGAAGACTTATTGATAATTTGAAACAAAACCATATAAAGTGAGACGTAAAGAAATACAACCCCGTTTAAAAAAAGTCCTCCGTAATACAACTCCATAATCGCATGGCATAAAACAATAAAAAAGGGTTCGAAACCCAATTTAAAAAAAAGGATCGAAACCCAATTACAAAAAAAAGGGTTTGAAACCCAGTAAAATAAAACTGATGCGAGAATATGAGATGGGATCGAAAGAGATGACAAAGGAGATTGGCAATCGACAGAGGAGGTACGCGATCGCAATTTGAATGCGGCGAGTTAGGAGGAGCTTTGGAAAGAGGTGGGGCTTTAATTTAATTGGAGTAAAAATGGGCTTCCGACCCGACAACTTATTTAAAAAAACAAGACTTTTTAATTTCACGGCGTTAGTCGTCTACGGCGCTGCACCTGGACGCCGAGTCTTCCAAACGGCAACGCCTAGGCGAGGTATTGAAACTTAGGCAAGTCGATTGGCCATGGCGAGAAAAACATGCCGCCTGGACGCCTAGGCGACGCCGTGATAACTATGGTTAAAGTTAAAGATATTTCTAATATGATCTGATTCCAATAAATGATTTCCCTTCAAGCACCTGCAATCACATGTCGGATAAGTGGTTCGGAGTAACAACTTCTGAAGTTGTGGTCATATATACCCAACTTACATCGTTCTAGCTGTGAAGCACATAGAGGTCGGCCGAAGGGAGATTTACGCATCCATGGCGGAATGGAGATTCGCTCATTAATTAATTTCAATCCTTCTCTTGAGTTGGCCAATTGCTAGAATAATATTGATCCTGAATTGTGACTAGTTTATTCAAGGAGAGACTGGTTCAAGTGTTGGAATAATATTTTTACCTTTTGGAATATTGATATTCTTGGTCTTCTTGAATCCTATTCTTTATATTTTGCCATGTCGTTAGGTACTCCAAAATGGGATTCGGAACTACTTTGGGAAATGGGATTATTATGGAAGATGGAGACTAAGCTCTTTTGTGATAGACTTTTCATATTTATAACTTTCGGTTTCATTCTTAGGGCTGTACTTTTTTAACTATTTTTCTTATTGATATTCTTTTATGTTTTGAGTGTATGATAAGTTTGTTCCCTTCCCATTTTTATGTTCCATCTCTTACTTTCAAAAAAGACAAACAAGACAACCTAAATCCATTGTGTTTAAATATAGCGGCACAATGTAAAACACAAATTGTCCCAACCCGTGCCCACCCCTATCTAGAACATGATTGGTTGGCCCACCACCATTGTTGGTGGTAGTGGAAGTGGGCTAGTGACCACGAAGGTGGTGATAAGTTTGAAATGATACTGGTAGGCCAATGTTGACGGTGGATGGCCAGTGATGGTTAGCTAGAAGTGTGGTTTTGGTGGATTGACCATGGTGCGATAGGGTTGGTTGGCTAGTGGTAATGGTAATGCCGTGATGAGGCAGCAATGATGGTGGTGGTGGCCGTAGGCAAATGGCGGCAATGGTTGGTAGTACGGGTTGGTGTATGGTGATGGTGGGCTTGTGACAACATTAGTGGTGACTAGTTGACAATGGTGAGTGGTGGTGGGCAAAAGTGAGTGGTGGTGGGCAAAAGTGATTGGTAGTGGTGGGTTGCAAGGAGTGGTAGGACTGTAGGAGTTATCAACACAACATTGATTTGATATTTTTCGAATTTCAAGAGATATCAAAATTCAAAACAACCATTTGGAGAAAATTATGATACGTTATCAAAACTCAACCCCTTCTATGTTTCAGCAAACAGGTATTTACTAGCCAAAGAGGCTGCTTGTTACTTTTCATAGAAACTATTTAGAGTACAACAAGATGTCTTGCAGAAATGGTATTGCCATATCGGCTAAATCCACTCCTTTTATGTTGAATGGACAACTTTACTCTTAAAGGTTGGCTTGCATCTAAATCCCTCTTTTGTATTCTTGAGGATAAACTTGTCAAATTGGAGTGGATATAGCAACACCCTTGCAGAAATTACAATGTCTTGTGATGCACCAAATGTCGAAAACAACACTTCAATTTTCAATATTACTATGGACTTCATGCATTAAAATAAGATTGCATTAGTTAATACTTTAATAGATCTTCCCTATAATCCTTAACATCCTCACCAAAAACTAACAATTGTTCATCACAAAATAGATCTACCTAAAGTTTTGTCAAACTACATGAGCCCACCAAAATATAATGTGTAATTATTTTAAACAAGTCCATTGCTTTCCTAAACTCAATAGTCGATGGTGATTAGCTCCATGTCAACAATAAAATTAATTTGACTAATAAATGTGTGAAGACTCATTCAAAATCATAGATCCACCACTTCCATGGTGCTGATAGAGTATAAAGAATAAACACTTCAACAACACACTTTCATTTTCTATGAAATTGAATTAACATGATTTATAACATAGGTTAGCACTTCTAAATATAAGGTGCCTAGTCCTCGGTACTTAAAAAAGATTTGGCACTGGCGTTACACAAACTTTTAGGTGGACTCATTCACTCCTTATATTTTCTTACTAATCCATCATTCATCCAACGATGAAACAGTCTTTTCCCTCAATATGTGAGTGTGCCTAGAAGGTCCGAGACAGTTTAATCGATACTGTGAAATAGCTGTAGTATAGCTATGTGAAATAGTTGTAGTATAGCTGTAAAAGGGTTCTTGAATAGTAAGGTCATGCTCATGAGGTTGGCACCCATGATGTCATACCTTTACTAAATAGTCTTTAGCTTTCTATATATTTGTGTATATCCTTCATTTGAAAGGCAATTAATCAGAGAGTATTCAACACTTATCTCTGAATTTCACATGGTATCAAAGCCTTTTTGGGCATAAAAAAAATCCGGTGAACTCCCGGTGATATTTTCCGACGATATTTTCCGGCAAGTTTTTTTCTCTTTCTTCTTTTTCATCTACAAGTGTTTATTTCCTCTCCTTGTAGAGTAATAATCCTCTGCCGCAGAAAACAATCATAAGTCTCTGGAAACATTCCAGTTGACTTTTTCCTGTGAGTTTCACCAGTCCACTTTAAAGATCTACTCCAATCTAGCTATTTTCTGACGATACCACCACCACTGGTGTGTCACTGGTGTGTCTGGATCACCACTGTAAGTCTGCCTGTGGTAGACACATTAGTCACTGCCACGCGCCACCGACCGCTGTCCTTTTCCGACCAGAATCTCCAGATTCTTCAGCTGATCATTCGACACGCCTTCCACAATCAAAATGATGTCAGGTCTGTCAACTTTTGCTACTATTCTGAATATTACCTCTGAGAAATTGGTTGGTGTTTCGAACTATCAACCATGGGCTGTTTCAGTAGAGATGTGGTTCAAAGGTGAAGGCCAGTTTGATCATTTGACCAAAGATAACACCACTATCACTGATAAGAAAACTGAGTGGGAAAGAATGAACGCCTTATTGTGTAATGTTTTATGGCATTCCATTGATCCCAAACTTCTTCCAACATATCAATCCTATTGTACTTGCAAACAAATTTTTGAAAAGGCCAAATCAAACTACACTAATGATATTCAAGGGTTATTTTCATTTGGATCCAAAATTGCCAGCTTGAAACAGCAAGACTTGGATATTCAAGACTTCCTTGGCCACGCAGAAGCTCTATTGTTTGAATTCAACACAATTTAACCCATTACAGACCGACCAACAATTAGCTCAGCGGCAACAGTTAATTATGGTATTAACCTTAGCAGGCTTGCGTACAGATTTTCAGTCTATAAGAGAGAAAATCCTATCAAGTCCATCAGTCCCATCAATGGGTGATGCATTTGCACAAATCCTCCGAGCAGCTCCCATCCTCAATGATCCATCCTCAGGAGATTCTACTATTCTTGCTTCACAGAATCAGAATCGTCCAAATACAGGCAATCCAAAATACAATCGTCCAAAGTGTGACTTGTGTCACCGGATTGGACATACCTCTGATAGATGCTGGAGCCCGAAGTGTGATATCTGTAACAAAACTGGACATACAAAAGATAAATGTTGGAAGCTACATGGAACACCTTCAAAGTCTGTCAACATTGCTCAAAGTCCACTACCCTCGGTTGTGATATCACCTGATGAGTATTCATCATACCAGAAATTTAAAGCGTCCATATCTTGTCCAAGCTCGTCCACTGCATGTGTCTCGAATACATCAAGCACTTGGGTCCTTGACTCTGGTGCATCTGATCACATCTCCGGTAATCCTTTTCTTTTATCCAATATTTCTAAACAAGGTAACTTGCCCCTAATCACACTTGAAAATGGACTCCAAACACCTGCCATGGGAATTAGTAGTTGGAACAGCTCTTTCACACACAACTTTACCACTCAAATCAGTGTTATTTGTTCCCAGGAGTTCTTTTAATCTTGTGTCAGTTAGCAAACTTACTCAATCTCTTAATTGTTCCATAACGTTTTTCTCTGATTCTGTGGTTATTCAGGACCGAAGTATGGGGAAGATGATTGGCAAAGGACGTAAATCTCAGGGACTTTATCTTCGTAATCCGCCTGATTATATTGCATGTGTGTCTGTTGAGTCAGCAATTACTTTACATAATCGTCTTGGTCATCCTAGTTTTGGAAAACTTCAGTGTATGATACCAGGTTTACCATGTCAGTCACCCTTTAATTGTGAGTCATGTCATCTTGGAAAACAACCCCGTAAGTCTTTTCCAAGAAGAGTCAATAAACGGGCAGCATCTCTGTTTGATCGAGTCCATACTGATGTGTGGGGGCCATATCGGGTTAAGTCTACATTGGGATTTCGATACTTTGTAATCTTTATTGATGATTTTTCCCGATATATTTGGTTATATTTAATGAAAGAATGGTTTGAACTGTTTGATATATTCCAAAAATTCTGTGCAGAAATTCAAACTCAGTTTGGTCGTACCATAAAAATCCTTCGCAGTGATAATGCCAAAGAATTTTTCACTAATCCATATAACCAGTACATGGCATCCAAGGGGGTGCTTCACCAATCCTCTTGTGTTGATACACCACAACAAAATGGTGTTGCAGAACCGCCATCTGGTAGACACTGCACGCACTCTGTTACTACACTCTCATTCACCTACACATTTTTGGGCAAATCCCATACTTACAACATGTTATCTTACTAACTGAATGCCTTCCTCTGTCCTCAATAATGAGATTCCATATTCCATCTTATTTCCAAACAAAGAACTCTTTTCTTTACCACCTCGAATATTTGGGAGTGTTTGTTTTGTTCATGACACAACACCTGGACAACCAAAAATGTCTGCCTGATCAATTAAGTGCATTTTTCTTGGCTATTCTAGACTCTAAAAGGGATATCGATGTTATTCTCCGGTGTTACGAAAGCATTTTGTTCCATATCTTCGGCCAAGCTCACCAGTATCAGATAACTCTGACATTATAGACTCACAGCTTGAATCTGTCAAACCTAGTACAATACCACAACCGCCTCCATTACAAGTTTATCATCGTCGACCTCGCCCCCCTCCGGAGGTTCAGGAGGCTCCGTCTACAGACAATTCATCTTCCTCTGTTTCGGATCCAGATCATGAGAATCTACCGATTGCTCTTCGGAAAGGTACACGTTCCACTCTTAACCCATATCCCATTTATAATTTTCTTAGCTATCATCGTGTCACCCCTTCATATTTTTCACTTCTTTCTCATCTTTCTGATGTCCTGATTCCAAAAACAACTCATGAGGCCCTTTCACATCCGGAGTGGAGACAAGCAATGGTGATGGAAATGGAGGCTCTTCAAAGTAGTGGGAAATGGGACCTTGTCCGACTCCCACCAAACAAGACAGTGGTAGGATGCCGATGGATCTACACAGTGAAAGTTGGTGCAGATGGTACCATTGATCGCCTTATGGCACGTTTGGTTGCTAAAGGCTATACTCGAATATATGGACTGGATTATATTGATACTTTTTCCCCAGTTGCTAAAATTGCTTCTATTCGACTAATCTTATCCATGGCAGCCATGAGTCATTGGTCATTGTTCCAGTTAAATATTAAAATGCTTTTCTTCACGGTGATTTACGGGAGGAAGTTTATATGGAGCAACCACCAGGTTTTGTTGCTCAGGGGGAGTCTAATCTTATGTGCAAACTAAAGCGATCCCTATATGGTTTAAAGCAATCACAATGTGCCTGGTTTGGTCGATTTAGTAGTGTTGTTAAAGCATTTGGCATGCAGAGGAGTGATGTTGATCATTCTGTCTTTTACCAACATTCAACCTCTAACGGGTGTATATATTTAGTGGTTTATGTTGACGATATTATTATTACGGGCAGTAACAAAGAGGGAATTGTGAAACTAAAGAAGCATTTATTCAACACATTCCAAACTAAAGATTTGGGAAAGTTGAAATATTTTCTCAGCATTGAAGTTGCACAATCAAGTGATGGTATTGTTCTCTCTCAGAGAAAATACACTTTGGACATTCTTGAAGAAACTGGGATGGTGGAATGTAAGCCTATTGATACTCCCATGGATCCAAATGTAAAGCTTGTACCAGACCAGGGGGCAGTTACCTAATAAAGAGAGATATAGAAGACTTGTTGGAAAATTAAATTATCTCACAATCAAAAGGCCTGATATTTCATTCCCTGTAAGTGTGTTAAGTCAGTTCTTAGACAGACCGTGTGAAGGGCATTGGAATGTTGTGCTTCGGGTTCTAATGTATATCAAAAATACTCCAGGACAATGACTTCTATATGCAGATAATGGTCATAACAACATCGTGGGTTATTGCGATGTAGATTGGGCTGGTTCTCCAATTGATAGGCATCTGGTTATTGTATTTTAATTGGTGGTAACTTGATTTCTTGGAAAAGCAAGAAACAAGATGTAGTGGCAAGATCAAGTGCAGAAGCTGAAATCGTGCAATGGCTCTTGCAACATGTGAAATTCTGTCACTGAAGCATCTGCTCCAGGAATTGAAGTGTGGCAATACAGAATCTGTTCAATTAATGTGCGACAACCAAGCAGCTATACACATCGCTTCAATCCAGTATATCATGAGAGAACTAAACATATCGAAGTTGATTGCCATTTCATCCGAGAGAAAATAGTTGCTGGTCATGTTGTTACAAGCTATGTTGGCACAGAAGATCAACTTGCAGATATTCTTACAAAATCAGTGAGAGGACCAAGAATAAAATATATTTGTAACAAGCTTGGAGTATATGATTTATATACTCCAGCTTGAGGGGGAGTGTGAAATAGCTGTAGTATAGCTGTGTGAAATAGTTGTAGTATAGCTGTAAAAGGGTTCTTGAATAGTAAGGTCATGCTCATGAGGTCAGCACCCATGATGTCATACCTTTACTAAATAGTCTTTACCTTTCTATAGATTTGTGTATATCCTTCATTTGAAAGGCAATTAATCAGAGAGTATTCAACACTTATCTCTGAATTTCACAGATACTATGGTGCTGTTTGGTTTCTTTATTCTTACAAAGACCATAGTTAGTAAGAGGGCAGAAGGTAGCTCAAAGAGAAAAACCCAATTTTCATCTAGATCAATTATATCAGAATGAAAATAATGATCTATAACTTATACTCCCTCCATGCCATTGGATTCTGATCTTTTTTGGTCAAACATATGATGTCTAATTTTATTTGGAATAATTTAGCAAAACTTATAATTTCATAAAAATATTTTTATTGGTGAAAATTTCCAAAAAAATAAAAACGGGTATTGAAAAAGTAGCATGGAAAAACAATAGTGAATATTCACTCGTACCTTTCCTTCAGTGAGTATGAGACGGTGAAGGGAGGGCACTTGCTGCATTTGGAAACCTAAAGAGTCCCATGTGTCAGCCTGAAGTAAAACCAGAGCAGCTTGGGACACTTTCCACGCTGAGACAAAATCTCCGGTGGAGAGAATTTCACGGCGAGCCTTCAGAACTGCCTTATCGACCATATCTATGGCCGCCATCGGTCTAGAAGGCTGAGCATGGAACTGAAAGTTGGGGTTCTGGATGGGAAAGCTGGGGTTTTGGAATTGTAAATAAGGATTTTGGAATTGAAAGTTAGGGAGGAAATTGGGGTTCTGAGTATAGTATGGATTAGCGTTCCTGTCAAAGTTGGCGCCTCTTGATGGCGGCCCACCGCCACCGCCGCGAGGAGGTCTTCCATACATCGTGAGTCTGCGGATGCTCGAGAAAGGTCATGGAAAGTCTTATAGTTTTATAATGCAAAGGTTGATGGCGCATGGTAGTGCCGTAGTGGTGGTAATGGGCGGGTTGGATCCAAGCCCAACTTTCGAATCTACTCGGAAAAAAATTGGGTCTATTGCAACTTCTTCGGGTAGGTAATCCATTGGAGTATGTTCAATGAGGTCCCTAGCAGAGATAGAATCTTTAATTCTTTATGTGTTATTATGTTGAAATAAGTATAAATAATATAAAGTTAAAAGTGAATAAGGTTAAATAGTAGTGATGTGATAGATACAGTAATAAAAATCATTAGAATATTGTTAAAGTACAAGTACAGGTACAACAAAAAATCATCACCACATACCACTACATTACACGGCACTATGATTGCCCAAATGACCCAAAAAATTCAATTCTCTCCATGTGGTGGGCTATTAATTATGTCAGAATACAGAACTTCATCCTCATTCAATTTCTTCCTATTCTACTAAGTGTTTTCCTTTCCAGGTACTTTTTCACTGCACTTTTAATTTCTTTTTCTTCCTTTCTCATATATTCTTTTCTAGCCATTTCACAGTGGCTTTCTACTTTCTTTCTCTTCCTGCCATGTGAACCCTTTGTTTTTCACATGTTTGCTACTGCCATTTCAGTTTCAGGAATGGACTCATATATTCCTACACAAACACTGCAAACAGAACCCCAAAACACGCAAGGGAAAAGGATGAAAAAACTTTCAAATTTGGAAAGACAATGAATAGTTGACTACTTGTTGCTACATGCAAAAATCAATTTTACGGGGACACAAACTGCTCAGAGGGGTGTTGTCAAGGAAGCTGCTACTGAGTTTAATGTAAGCACACCATCTATTTTTAAAGTATGGAGAAAAGCTAAGGAACAACTACACGTTGGTAACGTAATAGAGTGAGGAGCAAAATGCCAGGAAATGTTTGGAGGAAAAGGTTTACAATGAACTTGGAATCAATTGCAGAAATCCCACTGCGAAGGAGACCCACAATCAGGTCACTAGCCTCCACCGCGGGCGTGTGCAAGTTCACAACTCATGCCTAGGTGAAAAGAAGTATTCTTCAAAGTCATAATAATGTAATTAAGCCCACACTTAATGATTTAAACAAGATACAAAGATTGAAATTCTGTTTGGACCAAGTAGAACAATCGAGTATCCTCACAAACCTAAGTTTCAAGACTTTTAAAATTGTGTTGCACATTGATGAGAAATAGTTTTTTATGACAAAAACATCCCAAAGATACTACTTGACCCTGGAGGAGGATAAACCCTATAGAACATGTCAATCTAAAAGTTTTGTCACAAAAATCATGTTTCTTGGGGTTGTTAGAAGACATGTAATTTCATATGCTGGAGAAGTACTTTGGGATGGACAAGTTAGGATTTCCCGTTTGTAGAAAGTGTTGAAGCAAAGAGGAAAAGCAAAAATAGGGAGGCAAGTTCTCTGGAAACCAAACCAATATCAAGTGTAACCAAGCTTTATGATGTTGTCACACGTATGCTTTGTAACACACATAGAGTAAGACTTGGGAGCCTTCAAATACTCAAAGAGTTCATCCTCTTCCTCTGGATCTGGAATCGGCTCCCCCACCGTTGCACCGTCGTGACCTTTAACTTTTGAGGGAAGTTGCTCAATTACCTCCACCCCATGCGCAATGATGTTTTTTCAGCATCATCAGAGTCCTCCAGATCGGTGAACACATCTGGAGTTTCTGGAAGTATTGAAACGTAACACATATTTTCAGAATTGATAGGAGCTGTTTGTAGGAATGAGAGCAACTTAGGGGATGCAAAAGAAATTTTAGATGTAGATCTAAGAGATCATACAGAGGAGTCAGAGGCGAGTAAGAGAGAGGAGGTGAAGATAAGAGAAATGAATAAACGAAAGGGGAGCATAGCTTTTAGATCTGGATGATGATGCGTTGATAACGAGGGGTCGGAACATGGGGAAGTGGGGTGGTTGGAATTACGGAGTAAATTAAAGTGGGTGGTGGGTGAGGGGTATTAAAGGCATTTCATTTAAGATTCTTTGCCTAATTTAGAAAGATGAAGATTATTTATTAACAGACCAAAAAGGAAAGTACGAGCATTAAAAATGGACGGAGGGAGTGTTACATTGTAATTAGAGTTAATAGCCATCAAAAAAGGGATTGGGTCTCTCAGTTTAGTCTTCACGTTATGGTGTAATGATTAATTGAAAGGCCACATATCATTATCAAGATCATGTTTTTGGTCTCTTTATCTGATCTGATTGAAATAAGTTATGATTTAGTCTAAATGTAGTGATTTTAAAGTTATTTCTAATTTGTTCTAATCTAAATAACCTCGTTAAAATGAAGTACAAAAAAATGACTTAAAAAATAAGTAGGTAAGACCTACTTACTTTTTTGGATTATATATTATTTATAAATCAGCTTATAAACACAAAGAAAGATGTCGAGCCTGTTTGGGAACATCGTTAGCGATAAGTGTTAGCATTTTGAAAAGGATATCTACGTGTAGCGTTAAGCGTTAGCGTTTTCAAAGTAATCTGCACCGTTAGAATTTTATCCAAAATGCTAACGCTAATCACTAACGCTATTCTCAAACAGGTCCCCCATTAGCACATTTATAAATAAAAAAGGAGAACCCCTTGAGTAAGAGTAAAAAACTATGGAAACACTGAAACAAGAGTCATATGTCTTTTATGACCGAGATAAGAGTTTACAATGACAATGTCACATTATCACACTCACCGCATTGTTATATTGTAACTGTCACGCTATCATTGTTACACTTTCATTTGTCGGCCACTATAGTGTCATCGTGTATCACCGATAGTTAATTGATCACACTTCCATATTTAAAGAAACTATCACACTAACATCACCACCTTTTCAATGTTTACTCCTACAACACATTGTCACTATAATTGTATTTTGGTTTAAAAGAGTTAGGACTCCTATTTTGATAGTTTCATACTTTTTTACGTCTATCTAGAGAGATTTCTCAATGCAAAAGAAATAAAAAATAATTTTAAGTAGCTTATAAGTATTTACGTACAATTAGGAAAAATTATTCAAAATAATCTCAATTTTACATGGTCTTTCAAAAATAATATCATCTTTCACTCTAATGCATAATATCAGAACTTTATTAAAATTTGCGAGTTTTGGGTCACCGTTAACTTGCTAACTGATAAGTCCATTTTTGGTCTTATTTTATGTCTCATATTTCAACCTTCTTGAGTGTAACTAAAAATAAATAAAGAAATTCAAATAAATTTTCATGCTAAAAAATCATTTTACAAATATGTTAATAAAAGAATTGTTCAAAGTTAAATTTAGTTTTTCCAAAACATATCATGATCAAATTAGAAGAAAAACATTTGAAATTAAAGATCACAAGTCAAGAAGAGGTTTAATTAGGTTTTGGAGCAAAAAAGGTGGAACAAAATAGCAAAAATGCAAAAACTGGGTCGAAACACACTACAGGACTTCGAGAGGCATGTGCCCCAGCCCCAGGCGCACGCCTGTGAGTGTTTGACGTTTGGTATCTGGTGGAAAAGTCAATTTTTTGGCGGAGAATCTGATCAGACAGTAGTCCAGGACAGGCGTGCGCCTCAGCCTCAGGCGGGCGCCCGGGCTTCCGAATGCCTATATCAACGGTGCCCCTCAACCATTTCCACCATCATCCCATCTTCTCAACTTTTCCTTCTCCCTAAGTAGCGAAAAACTTGTAAAAAAGGTGTTTAAGATTTTATCATTTTGGAGTTTCAAGTCCAGATATGTTCAATTTTGTTTTTCCTGAAAGTTGTACATTTTCTGTAATAATTTTATAAAAAAATGTTATGTTATTTAATTTGTGCATATTTAGTTGTTATCATGTCTACTTAAATATTTTAGGAATGTGAATTGAAACAAGGTAGTAGGTATGTAGAAAAAATAATTAAGTTGGAATATTAAATTTAATTAACTAAAAATGTTAAATTGCTAGTAATTGTGGTAATGTTAAAATTAATTAATGTGGCCAATTCGTTATTTAATACTTTAAAAATTATTATATCTATGAATGAGAAAAAATAATTTAGTCAACCAATGCTATCACATTAATTAAACCTAGAGATAAGATATAATAAATGAAGCAGTTGTGACAGAACTATCACTAGTGAAATAATTAATTAATTTAATAATCCATTTAGTTAAATTATTTGAAAAATACCTACCACCTGAAATCTATTTATACTCCTTATCAACTCAATCAATTTGTTATTATGCGCAATCATGCTCAAAATTTTCGAAATTAGAAAACTTCCAATACGAATTATTAAGCTTTTTCTAACTAGTTTTTAATAGAGAAAATTATTAACATGTCAATCCTTGTGAATACAACACGCGAATAAATTGAACTCTTTTAGAGAAAAATTTACTACCACTAAAACTCAATCGTCACTAACGTCAAATTAACGGAAACAATTTGTTTTGTGCAACAAAATGAAAGTTGGAATTATTTTTGATGAACTTTTATTTTTATTTGTTTGAAACTTTCATTTAAATTTTTAAAATTACTTTCTACCTCCATTTCTTTTTCTTTTTTAAAGACTAGTCTTATTATTGAACAATAATAAATTCTTAATTTTTCGTTCTCCAGGAAAATAATTGTAAAAAAACTAAAAAACTTATTTTTGATTATTTAATTTTTTTCTATACTTTATTACGGAGTAATTTATAACGATTTTGCAACATGAACATTATTATGTGAGATGAAAGTTGGATTTAATCAATGAAAAAAATATTTTAGTATGTACTCCGTATGTTTTATACACATGAAATTTTTTTGTTATCACTTATTTATAAATTCTTGAAAAAACTATGTAAGTACTGTGCTTTATGTTGATGGTATAAATATATTTCTATAAAATTAAATTTAAAGTATAAATTTACATGTATAAAAATCATGAAAAAGACTATCCCATTCATGACTGGTCTAGGCTTTTAAAAAAAATGACCAACAACCGGTTTAAGAAGGGACCAGTCTCAATGCAACCATGCTAGACTTACACAAAAAATTGTACCTCACTTGTACACCGCAGTTATATACAAACATTTTGATTGTTTACACCGACACAAGTGTTGGTGCATTAACAAAAATTTATACGAACATATTACCAAAAATTAGTTTTACACTTGGTGCAAATGTGCTGGTACGGGGTATAAAAACTTTGGGTTTATGAGTCTCAATAACCACTTCAATCCCATTTTTTCTAGTTCCAAGAAGAATCTATGCCCATCAATCTTTCAAGTCATCAGTTCTCATCACTAGTCCTGTGCATCATCTGATCTGTTGGAGCAGTGGCGGAAGTTGGCGCAAGCGTTGCTGGACGGAGAGATTTTGTAATCTATTGCCGTTGTGCTCCAGCGGGCATGTTCATCAGCGACGGACTCGTAATAACCATCTGTTTTACCTTTAAAACAATGTTTTACAAAGAGCCAAGTTTGAAAGCAAAGTTCGTAGTCTACTTTTTATACTAGTTTTGAATTTTTGATGTTTTATTAAACTGTATACACAATGAGTGTCGTGATTCTCGTGGCTCTAAGCTTGTGTAATCTTACTGCTCAAATTTGCTCACTGAATGTAACTAGAGGTGGTGCACCAGCTGTTTGATGATATGTTTCTTTTTTTTTAGTGCACAGAGTAGTTCAGTGTGGTTTGTACCAGACCCCTAATTTCTACTTTTTAAGCTGTTTTTTATTCGATTAGTGAGTTAAGTCTCTCTAAGTATATGTAATTTGTTTCAGACATGGTCACTGAAGAACTCGTCGTCTACGACAACTAGTTATTTTAGGTTACTAAATAGAAGAAGCAATTCTTCTTCCCGATTTTTGTCCTTGTTGAATGTGACCCATTTTTGCACGTTCCCCAACAATTTGCCTTCTTCGAAAAGGAAGTCTCGAGGGCCAGTGATGTCAGCAAAGAAGGCTTCTCAAGGTAAACATGTATCTTACTACGATTTAGTTAAAAATATTATTGCTAATATCATACCTGAATTGTTTCGTGAAACCTTGTTTGTTTCATGTAGCCGACCCAGCTAGTGGGATAAGGCTTTGTTGTTGTTTCATGAAACCTTGCTGCTTTTTAGTATTTTTTAGTCTGTTCTTGATGACATCTATTGATCTATATCTTTGCAAGTAACTGACTTGCTCGACATTGGCTAGATTCAAAGAAGGAAGATGGGATGTATAAGCACACGGTTGATCTGCCAAAAACAGCATTTGGTTTAAGAGCAAATTCTGTAATTAGAGAGCCAGAACTTCAAAAACTATGGGAAGAAAACCTTATTTTTAAGAGAATATCTGAGAGAAATACTGGGGTGAGCTGTAACGGATGTTATTATTTTTAAATGTGACCAGATGTACTCTTTTAACATAGTTGATGAGTTTTTGTAGGGAGCTTTTGTTCTTCATGATGGTCCTCCTTATGCAAATGGTGATTTACACATAGGTCATGCTTTAAATAAGATTTTGAAGGATTTCATTAATCGCTATAAGGTTTGTATTCTTCATCTGGTTTTATCCATTTCATTTTTCAGGTAGCTTTCTGTTATACCCGAGACCCTGGGTCTTATCACGTTGCTATTTTAGAGAAGGAAATATGGGGAGGTGAGGGGGAAATGGGGTGGCCGAAATATTACGGGGCAAAAGGGGAGTTCTTTTGGTGTTTTTTTTATGAAGAAAAAGAAGAGGTTTAGGAAGAGAATATGGGGAGGCACGAAATGGGGGAATAAAATAGGAGGGGATAAACCAAGTTGGTGTTAAGAGATATGACACACTCTTATCTTAACTTGGGGTTTGAATCTAGAATTCAAATAAGATATTACACACTTATTTAAATATCTAGAACCTAAAACTCACACTTAAGATAACCACTCTTAAGATATAGAATTAGGAATTTAGCTTAAATAGCATCACACTATTTAAAATATACTCAAAGAGTAATGTTTTAATTCATAAAAAAAACTGCCTTACAACATGGCCCTAAGGCCGAATTATATATGAAGGGGAAAGTGGGGGGGGGGGGGGGGGA